ATCAGTGATATACATATGTAGAAATGACATTGCCTTGCCAACAGATTGATTATCATTGATATTAACGTTAGTTGAAAATGATTGTACATTTTTTTAAAGGCTATACATAGATTCAGATTATCAGCTGCCTTTTTTTACACACATATGTGACTAATAAACATGTTATTTCCGATTTAAATTTAATAATACGCATTATAATAAGTATTACATTGTTTTATGTATTCAGGGATTTTTACAAATTGTAAGATATGGCATATTAAATTCAAACATATGTGTAATTTCGTCTTAATATTTGGAAAACGTTAAAATCATTCCATACATTTATTACTTTATCACAAAAAGAACGCAAATAAATTGCCACAGAAATCTCTTGAGATTTCAATTTTTTATGGTTAAAAAAAGCATACGAAGTGAAGATTACAATAGTATTTTTCCCAGTGGACTACATATTGCCCAGGCTCGTAGGTGTATGGGTATTATGCGATGCATTTTACCGACATGAAAACCTGTCGTGATCACTTCACTCGATGACCCATGCTCATGCATAAATCAGAGACTGTCAAATGAAATGGAATCCGTATGAGCCCTTAACAGACACACTGTGCAAAAATGTATTAAAATACACACGTTTATGAAAATATGAAAATAAGGCTTAAAAACCGATCTTAAAGATATCATATTGATTTATTTCAAATATCACTTCGGTGTGTCACAAATGTAAGCTCTCGTGGTGTGAAATAAAACCGATTTGATCACCAAATTTGGTCATATCGCTTCACTGTATATAAATTAGCATATGCTGAGCTGTGTTAACAGCGAAAAAGTTAACAAGCTAACAGTCAGTTGGCATTAACAGAAATTCGCTGTTATCTACAGCAGGGGTGAACATAATAGCAGCATATAAACACTGAAAGTAAATGACGAAACAAGAATTAACCTTATAATCGTCAGAAGAAACAAAAAAATAGTTGAGTGTTTGATAACCAAATGAAAAAAGCACTTGCTTCTAAAATTATATTTCTTAAGTTAAGTTAAGTTACCAAATTTTAAAATTAAATAGTTATATGGAATCGAATACCAGAAATTTAACATAAGTTGTGTATACTTCTGGATTTCAACTAGCTCTATTGTGATGGCCACAATTGTATAGGTCAAACGAATGCCGAGGTTCATTGAAACATTGCTTTAATGGCGGTTTAAATTGCTGCTCTTAATTAATATGTAACTAACTACTTTGGCAGTAGGCAAATAGCTCCGTACATTTCAGCTTCAATCGTTTAGTTTATTTTACTACTTGAGATTGTGTTGTTGTTGCTCTTAATGGTCAATTTGCATGAAAAGTTGTCGCTTCAGAAAATGTGTTTGTTTCTGTTTTGTTTTCCAACAGATTATGTCATTTAGTTGGTTTTGATTGCTTTTGCCCAATGTGAAGCAGATTTGTTGTACTTTTTGTATTATGCTTTTTCCTTGGGCACCCATGTGCGTGTGGGCTACATTGTGCTTATGCGAAAACACATATGTTATGTGTTTATATGTTCAGGAACTATCGCGATCGCGGCAGTTAGAAAGCATAGCATTCCAAAAGGCAAACAGAAATTCCTCGCCTCTAGTTTTATTTATTTGTTGTTTTTGTGTGCTCATTCAGTCGGCATTTCACATTTTGTGCGGTTTTGGATTTATTTTCGTTTTACATTTCGCGATTTTGTGGCTGCTCTCGCTAATAGGCTTACTCTCGGGCACTCTCAATCGCTCAATCTCCAAACTGGTTAAATATGCACGGGGAAAAACTAAGATGGATCTGCATTCTTTCTCCTCAGAAATAAAAGTTATTTGGTACATTTAAAAATGTTGTATATTTTCCATAAATATCAATAAGTTTAACACAGTCACAAAAATTCCAGTTTTAAATGCTCGATCTATAAACTGGTTATTATAGTATCTTGATTTTTTAATAGTTATTTATAATCTGTTATTTAAAAATATGTTTGTATCGATTGTCAGAAGTTAGAATACTAATTCCATGTATTTAAAACAATTTGTATTTAAAAATCTGTTTTGTTTCGATTCTCTGATGCAAGAATACTAAATTCATGTGAGGAAAACTATTTTTTTCTCTGCACGATAACAATAACAGCAACATTGAAACTGGTCGGGAAATGAGAGGAGGTAAAAGGGGGACGACATTCGCAAATATTGGTCAAGTTTGAATGCCCCGAGGACTTTGCATACACGAGCCAACGGCATTATGATGATGCGTCCGACGATTTTATGAACGATCTTCATTATCGTCGTCTTCATCGGGTGTGCCAATTACCAATTTGGTGTCAACTCCTCCTCCTCGGCCCGAATCCCCACCCATTTATTTCTTTATTTGACAGTTGCTTTAAATCCGCCTAGCCCAGTTTAGCTACAGCAGAACGTCGATACGTGGTGTTTCCTATAACTTGAACCATTAAATGTTTAAATATACATATCTAAATTATTTAACAACTTACTGTCTATTTTATTGACTCTTGGTGAATCGGTTTCCTAATAATATAATGCTAAGACAAATGAAGTGAAAATTGTGTTGGATTTAAAACATTTGCAAAGTAATGTATTAAACTATAGCTAATTCGTTATTATATAATACTACGACATATGAACATACCTGAATCTAGGACACTATAGAGGTATACTCTATCTAGTTGGCGGTTCGTGCTAGGCAAGATCCACTGTGTTAATTCTTTTGGTTGTTTTTTGTTTTTTGGCCAAAACCAGAATTGAAATCACCTCTTGATCGACTCCACTCGACTCGTCCAACCCGCTCGGTGGCTCCAACCCGCTGGGTCCGTTGCCTGATCCAATTTCCTAATCATGCAAAGTGGCTCTCGACTCGATGTTGCAGTTGCCTCTCGGTGATATCGGGTTTGGTTTTTGGGTCTGTGTCTGCTCTTTGCATTTCCCATTTCTGCGGTGTGCCCAATTAATTGGGTGAACGTGACTTCTATTGCCTTTAAATGGAGTGGGTGGTAATTGGATTGGCCGAATAAAGAGGGGGGCACTAGGTCAAAATTTCGCGTTCCAAATGTTATTGCAATACCAAATTTTAAGAACTTGTGAGAATTGTTATTTCATTTTTAGTATTTACATATATTCTTGGAATTAAGATTTGAGGGGGTCAATATCAGATTTACTGTTTTGATTCTCGGAAATTCAAATTCTTTTAAATATATATATATTTTTTTTTTTTGGAATATTAGTGGAATTTATTATGGTGATTAAACATTTATTTTGAGTAGATTATTTTCTTGAGACTTTTATGAGTTGTTGAATTTATTACATAATACTTTTTCAGCAAGTCAACTTAATATATTAAAGTATTGTAGTGGAATGTTAGCCTTTACTTTTACCTTTATTAAGTATCCCAATTGAACTTTAATAATTGGTAATTAACAAGAGTTTTACCGAGAACCTAATCTGAATTCCATTCGGAAATAAAGAAGCCGGAACAAAGGCGTTACCACGCCTCTCTCGAATATTTCATCGACAGGAAGTCGCAACTCGATTAAAGCCCTATCAACGGCCAACGAAATATGCGTTTGATAAGCGTGTGCCTCTGACCTTGAGGTCCGCACCCCGAACAGAACTCCCCCCTTTGCACGACCACCCTTTATTCTATTTTAATATGCCATTGGCCAGGATTCCAGGATTGACCTTAACCTTATATCCCCGATTTGGTTTTGGCTGTGGTTTTTGGTTACAGCCTTAACCTTAACTTACCGGCCGACAATAATGATTGCCCTTTGCTGCCGCCAAACCCGATCCACTTGGGGTTTTTCTGCTTTCCATATACATTTCAGGTACTGGGGATTTCTGCGTTTTGTGTTTTTGTATTCCTTTTTGCTTGGGATATTTTTTTCTTTTTTTTTTTGTATTTACTTTTGGCGACGCCTTCGATGTTCGCCCATTTGCGCAGCAGCTAGTTCATTTCAAAGGCAAGTCACGAGCGGCACTTGCAAATTGAAGAAATCCGCCCAGAGTCGACTCGTGGCCCCCTTTGCGCCCCCAATTACCGCCCCTTCGCCGCCCCTTCACCACCCCCGGCGGCTCTTTCACCTCATTCACCTCATTCACCTCTTTCAGCTCTTTCAGGTGTGCCAGCTGATTGATAATTGGCAGAGAGCTCTGGAGATGGAGAGCAGTTGAACAGTCGAGCAGCCTCCCAGGCAAAAGAGCCGCAAACCGCCTGCTGCACTGAAAGAAATGCGGATGTTTATTATTATATTAGATTTTTTGTTAATTAAAAAAGGCTTAATCAGGCAGGACAGCTTTATGCTCTTAAAAAATATATATACACTTTATGGGGTCTGGAACTTTTTACTCTACAAGTAAAAATATAGAAATGTGACTTATAAATATCGAATCAAAACTTGTGAGGCAATCAATCTATCTTCTCTTAATCGATTCCGTCTCTTTGGAGCAATCTTTATTACAATTAAATAATAAATAAATATATATACCTTATAGGGTCTGAAACGAATTCCTCTACAAGTCAATATAAAGAGTATCAATAAAAAGCAGTTACGATGCTCCATCTATCTAAAATAAATCTCAGACATCTTTTTTAAATATGAATTTGTTCATACATTTTTTTGTACAATATTTTGGCTACAGTTAAATGTATATGTACATAAATTTTGTTTGATGAATATGGGAGAAAAGGAGAGAGATGGTGAGAACAGGAGAGATCAGGAGAGATGGAGAGCTCAGGAGAGATGGAGAGATCAGGAGAGATGGAGAGAGGGCGATAGCCAGATGGGCAAGTGCCATTTGGGGCTCTTTTTCCTCGTCCGCTCTCGTGTTGCTGCTGTGTCTGCTAATGTTGCCGCCGTGCCTGTTGCTGTTGTTGTTGCTGCTGCTGGTGCTATTGCTATTGCTATCGCTATATTGCTAATGTGTTGCCATTGCCGTTGGCCGGTTAGCGGGTCTCCAAGTCTCGGACACTCGCTTTTGCCTGGTCTTTTGCTTTTGCCCGTTTGCGGATTTTCATAGTTCAGTGCGCTTTCCAGTCGACAACGACAACGCGAACGGACGACGACAACAACGGCGACAGCTGACGACAGCAGCAACATCAGCATCAGCATCAGCATCACCCATCAGCGACGGAGCAGCAGCGTCTAAATATAATCATTTTTATTTGTGATTTATTTAATCAACATCTCACCCAGAGGCCAACCAGAAAGATTGGCGACTGCGGGGGCGGTACACGGCCACGAGATAGATGGGAAAATCAAAGAAAAGAGCGGCAAATTGCTCTTGAAAGTGAAAGAAATTGCACTGAAAGTGCAACAAAGTGTTTGCTTATCGGCTATCGGTGATTGAATCAATCAGCTTATTGATATTACAAAGCCAAAGTGCCGATGGTGAATGTAAATTGATAAGAGAAGTGCGGATATCGCACTTGAATATGTAAAAAAAAAAAAAGGAAAAATGGGAAAGAGCCACTTTGACTGGATTAAGTTTGATTTACCACACAACTGCACAAAAGCACTAAAAACTGGAAAGCTGTTAAAATTTAAAAACGAGGAAATACAAATTTTATGGCTAATCGCATAAATTGGCAATCCAACAAAATAACGAAGTTAATACAATTTAAATCAGCATGGCAAAATAATGTTGTAATCTGAAATAGCTTATGTCGTGTATCCGTTATCCGAATACGAGGTTTTTTTTTACTTCGAAAAATATATTAATCTTCAAGAAAATCAGTGCTAAACAAACGTAAAAGTGAAATATTTAAAGCAGAAAACATGCCCACAAAATATTTAAATCGGTGTTGGCTTTAATCTTGCAATCTTCTTGCTGCTGTCACAGTTAAATTGGGTTTTAAAAAGATGCTCTTTTTATCAGAGGCCGAAGCTTCCTTAAAAATATAGCCGAAAAGCATATCGAGAGTGAAATAATTAATGCAACACATGCTTAAAACAAAAGATGTTGCAAGCGGCGGCAATCGCTTAAATCAACAATCTTATACAAACTGATGTTGCTGCTATCGCTTATCGTTACTTGGTGAAATCAGTCATATTTTGTTGCTATCGGCGCATTCGTTTTGGCCAAACATTTTAACCACAACAAATTGTTATGCGTGTTGTTGTATTTGAAGCTGTTGTTGCTCTTGCCATTATGCAATATGCCGCAGTTTGATGAATCTTTTTTGAGCGACTGTGCGCTGGCCGATCGCTGGCGTTTCTATTCGTACACGGTCAAGCAATTGCCACCGAATCCCAGTCACGGCGGTGATGATGATGTTCGTCATCATTGGAAGACTCAGCGACAATCTTGGTCGCCGCGCGACGGCAACAATAACACTAATAACAACGGCCCAAGTAGCAACAGCAACAGCAACAGCAACACCTGCAGCAGCATCAGCAACATGGGCAGCGGCAACACGTTGCATAGCATCAAATTCCACAGACGTCGCAAATACAAAAAGCTGGCGCGATTGGCGCTATCAACGCCGGCGATTCCGCAGCAGATGGATGTGGATGTCGATGTGGATGTGGATATCGGTGTGGCGATGGCGATGGCGCTGCCCGCCACACCTGTGCCGCTCAAGAATGCGGTGTGCCGTAAGTGAAAGCGAATACTCGCCGAGGTTTTCGCTTGGTGGGTGGTGGACTCCTCTTCGGTTTTTAGCTTTTACTGACCACCGGGGCCACTCTAAAAGTTCCGAAAATTCAAATGGTTGGGCTCGCATGAACGATTCCGAAATATGGGGGGCCTCTGCAAATGCTAGGAATTTTTATAACATATGTGTGCATTTCAGCTGTAATTATTCCACTTTTTGTTTTATTATACCCCTGCCCGTGGAGTATTGCATTGCTGCCAGTCGCCAAGCCAAAAATCATCTTACTTTTGAGAGGGAGAGCTTTTTTTAAAAATGTTTATTGACCTAACAATACAATTTTCAAATATTTAAAAAAACAAAATGTTGGTAATATTTTGTATATTACAAAACTTTGCAAAATTTGTTCTGTTAAGGTTTTAAAATTGGTGGATTTTGTTATTTTTTGATGTTTTGCAATGTTGACGAATTTTGAATGCAAAATTTTGAAAACAAAACATTAAAAAATGTTGTTTCCGCGACCTTTTGTAAAAGTTTTTTTTACTTTTCAATAATTTATTCAATGACTTTAAAATATTTATTTTGCCTAAAGAAGAAAAGTAAGAAATCTAGTATAAATTGCCTTATATTGCAGAAGATTGTGGTTTTTAAATGTGCCAACTTTTGCTTTTAAATTTGCCATTCAAGAATGCCGCTTTAACCGGAAAGATTTTATTTTTGGACACTAAGCCAATCATGAATGGCTCGGTGCAGAAAAATGGAAATAATATAAACTTTACTATTAAAACTTATAAGTACAATAATAAAATAGTTTTGTTTTTATATGATATAATAAAGACGTATAATCGTCTGGAAAGAATGATGTTAGCATTATTTATTCATGTGTTTGAGCTTTCAAAGGTTTTCCCCAATGAAAATATCCAATAATTTCTATTGACCTATAAACCACTCAACGCTTTGAAAAACCAACTGACTCTTGTAACCACTTTCCTGATCAACAATAACTTCTATTGTTCCAAAACCTATATATTTGGTATTAGGGTTTTACTAACATTATGATAAATGATCGTTAATTAGTTTCCTCTGACTGATGGACTCGTTCTCATTGCTCTCCTTGCAGACGGCAGTATCAGTTCTCCATCCACGCCCGGCATCGGAGTGGGCGGTGGCGGCTGCAGCAGCAGCAGCAACAACAGCATCAACAGCGGCGGCTACTCGACCGCCTGCACCCCGCCACCACCCACGCAGCAGCATCAGCATCAGGCGCAGCAACAGACGACGCCTGGAGGATCTAGTCGGGTGCCACCAGCACCACCCAGTGCCGGATCGTCGGGCCACAAGAACAGCCTAAAGGGCACCAAGCTAGCGCGCCGGGCGCGCTCCTTCAAGGACGACCTGATCGAGAAGATCTCCCTGATGCGGACCACCAACAACACCCTGGGTCGCTCCCACTCGCCGCACAGTCCGCGCACCAAGCACGGCTCGAAGGCACCGCCCACCACCGAGGAGGTGCAGCGGTCCACCCAAACGCTGGAGACGCACGTCAAGGACATCTCGAATGCCCTGAAGCACTTCCGCGATGTTATACTCAAGAAGAAGCTGGAGGTGCTGCCCGGCAATGGCACGGTCATCCTGGAAACCATTGCCAGCATGTACTCCGGTGAGTAATCACTATATTCCTCGTTTGGCATTTATAACTTTCGGTGTTCCATCCCGCATCGCAGTGATCCAAACCTATACCATGAATGAAAACAGTGCCATCATGAGCTCCGCCACGCAGCAGGTGTACCACAGCCTGGGCAAGCTCATCAAGCTCTGCGACGAGGTGATGCTCTCCGAGGAGAGCGGCGAGTGCGCTTCGTTGAGCAACGAGAATGTTCGGGAAGTCATCGATCTGCTGGAGGAGGCAGTGCGGGTGAGTCTCTCTGTGGCGCCGGTTATCTGGCAACAGGCCTTCACTAAACACCCGTATTCCTCGAATCCAGAATCTCGTTACACTGGCGCAGGGCAAGTTGAAGGAGCAGGATCAGAGCGCCTTCCGCTATAGTGGATCTGGTTTGGGCGGCATTGGAGCTGCGGCGGATATTATGAGCGTAGTTTCCGCCTCGCCAGTTCCATTGGGCGGTGTCCCAGGCGCCGGGATCATGCGTGTTTCGGCTGCCGAATCGATTGGCCAGCGCACTTCGTTGCCGGACATTGGACTCACGCCCAAGGAACGCGACATCCTGGAGCAGCACAATGTGAATCCCATGCGCGGCTCCCACAGCACCGATAGCATCCTGCGCGACACGAGTCCACCGCCAAAGCCACCGCTACCCAATCGGGCCAGTAATCCTCCGCCGTTGCCGCCCAAGCGACGCAGCCAGCCGGGAGCACCTTCCGCTGGAGTGGCAGTGGGCTCCTCCTCGTCGACATCCACCTCCAATCAGGCCAGTCCGCTGCCCTACGCTCAGTCGCACAATATCAGCCTGAACTCGGTCCTGGACTGCAGCTCTAACATCTCGCTGCTGAACTATGGCGTGGATCAGTGAGTGGACCAAACATATTCAAGATTTTGCGGTAACAATTGAATGATTGCCTTTCACAGTCTATCAGTGCGCTCACGATCACCGGATGAGAATAGTCAGTGCTCCTTCGACTCGGCGTTGAATCACTCGCGGGAGGAGGAGGACCAACAGCAACAGCAGCAGCAGCAACAACAGCAGCAGAGACAGATGCCAAAGATGCCGGCGATGATGGACGAGGACATGGACAAGCTGGTCAGCTACAGTGAGTATTGTCGCAACGCTCCGCCGCTCCCCTCACTCTGCTCAACTCAAGTGGTGGCCCCCCCAACCAACGAATCCCGTACAAAATCCATCGGTTATGCAGGCGCCGCCATGGAGGACAAAATGCAGGCACCACTTTCGGTTGGTGGTGCTGCCGGTGCTGGTGCTGGTGCTGGTGGAACTGGAGGAGCTGCCGATGGCGGAGCTGCTGCAGCGGCTGGTGGCGGGGAAACTAACAGCAATCGCCACTCAAACGAATCGGGTACCCAAAAACATCTATCATCGTAGTTACAATCCCGCTTTATATTTTGTATCTGTTACACCTGGCGAAATTTCCTCTCCCCAATTTTATACTGCGCGTCCTACATTAATAACTTATATTTTAAAGCTTATTCGATTATCTGGCATACTTAATCATAAAAGTGGCAACCAAATCGTAGTAGCTTTCATATATTTAGCTTAAGCCTTTTCACGCTAGGCTTTCTGTATATATTTTTAAACACATCGACAAATGCTGTAAATAGTTTGACTTCATTCCTCCCGCCCTCCCGCCTTTTCCCTTTCTTCTCCCTACTGCTTTTCTCCTGTGTATTATTTAATTTCCGCTTGGTTTTGGCTTCCTATTCCCCACAACGTACTCTGAATTATGGACTATTTTTAACACTCTCCTTCCGCCGGCAGGTTTCGTTTCGATGCGCGAGTTTCGCACCTCCACGCAGACGACGGAGTCCTCTACGAAATCCTCGAGCAGCAACTCGGAGATTGCGTTTAGCATCAGTGAGTCGACGGCGGTCGGGAGCAGCAGCGAGTACCAGCAGATTAGCCAGTCGGTGTCGCACAGCCAGAGGCAAATCTCGAGCAGCAGTAGCAGCTGCACCACCGCCACCACCAGCAGCAGCACCACCACCACCGGCTATGGCAGCGGCAGCAGCGAACTGGAGCAGCAGACGGCGCCGGTGGTGATGCGTGCTCTGGGATCCTCGCCAGAACTGGCGCCCGCCCTGCCGCCCAAGAGTATCCAGCGCGGCAGTCTCACGCGCCATGAGTCGACCGGAGCTGGCGATGAGTTGGACGAGGCGCATTCCTCCTCCGGCTGGGCCAGCCACCGGAGCAGCCAGTCGGAGGTGGCCGAGCTGCGCCAGCTGTCGCCGCACCATCACCTCAATCCCCACCATCCGCACACCTGCTCCGCCGGACAGCTGCAGCATTGGCATTCCAAGCACCATAGCCTGATCGAGGGACCGCATCTCCAGCGCTGCTTGGACCAGGAGCCACCGCCGCTGCCCATGAAGAAAAAGCACAGTAAGTCGGTTCGCCCACGATGCACACTTTATTTACATCGATTTTTTCCCTATTTTTCTTTTTGATTTTTTTCCGTTTTTCCTTTTGGTTCGGTTCTGCATCTCGTACCGTGTGTGTTTGTGTATTTCGTTGTCTATATTGTGCATATTACTTTCATCTTTTTTTAAACCGCCCAGGCCAGGCCGAGCGGTAAGTTAATGGGTGTATGTTTAGCGCATTTCAAGGGATTCCCTCATCACAGTCCTATTTTTGTGGTATCCATCAATCCATCGAATAGGTAACTCCATCGTTAAACCCAGACAAAAGCAGACAAAACACCCGCACAACAATCAGACCTCCAATCAGTCAGTCAGTCAATCAGTCAATCAGTCAATCAGTCAGCCAGTCAATCAGTCATCACCTTTTATTAGTAGCCTGGCAGCCCAGTCCGTTTGTGAGATTCGTTTGTTTCTTTAAGACCATTTTATTTATAGCACATACCCGCATTATCGCAAACCCCCTCGAAATGCTGGCGACAAGAAAGTTTGCCAAATTGTTGTACGCAAGAGTCTAACCCATCTAAATTATCGTTCCAACCAACATCTAGTGTTTCAAAGTGTGGCCTTTTCGGGTAAGTTTGTGTGTGTTACTAGAGGACCAACACGAAACAAAAACACTAAGCCAACTTTTGCTGCCAAATGCCAAAACAAAAACGAAACAAAAACACCCGCAAAACAAACAATTTCGAAGCCCTGAGAGAGCTCGTAATGCTCTTAACTAATTTTAAAAAGAAAAAAAACACTATTTTCAACTGAAATTTAAATACAACCAAATTAAGCTGCGTTGTGGTCTCGAAAATCCATAATCATAGCTCTTAGTATTTTTGTTTCTGGAAGGTTAAATAAATAAATATTTTTCCAAGCTGCTGATAAAAAAAACCACTTGAACTCCACTACTTATTGAGGTGCCAGCACAGGCACAGTCTAATTCTGATTTCTGATATGTTTGTAGCGTTTTTGTGAGTATGATGAATGGATACTGTAAATCTTATATAAAAAGAAAGAGCATTTCGAGTTCCCTGTGGGCTTATTCGCTCTGCTGTTAAAATTTGCTGCCGAGCCGCTTTGGTTTTTACATGGCGCCCGAGCAGGCACCTTTTTGCAGTTTCCTAGTCCTAGATTTAGTTACAGTTCTCTAGCTTCCATTTCGCTCCGCCTAACCCACTGTGTCCCACCTGTCCAAACCTCTACAACCCGCTCAACTCCCTGCTCTGTGTTGTTATCCGTTCCTGTTACTTGTTGTTGCGATGCGATCCCTTGGCGTAGACCTGTAATCCTGGTAGACCGAAAAGACCATCGGGGCATTCGTTTATCCCACCTCTGTGTGAGGGTCGACAAGGATCGTTCGATCGGCTTAGTTTGGTTACTGTCCATCCTCGTTCGGTTAAACTTTCTAATGATTCCATTTTCCCCATCGCAGTTCTGGCTTACATGGAGATCTGTTCGGCGTCCACTCGATCTATTGAGCATCGCTACACGATGCACTCGTGCAACATTAGTCGCAACATTTCGCACAGTCAGACCATGAAGTGAGTAATATTATATATATAATAATTCATGGTTTCTAACTTCATTTTGTGACATTTTCCAGCATCATGAGCAAGGAGCTGTCGCCGGAGGTAGAGATACCGCCCGCCCTTCCGCCAAAGAACTCCAAGCAGCGCAAGGCGACCAGCATGGGAGCATCGCCCTCGCTGCAGCCCATCATTGTGACCACGCCGCCGCCGAGTCCAAAGCCGACGCTGGCCGAGAACGGGTCGACGGGCAGACCGGACAGCCGGATGGCCACCGTTTGCGAGGAGCTAAACGACAGTTTGGTCGGCGAGGAATCGATGCCGGAGCCCCGTTCGCCTGTGCTGGACAGCAATGAGAACGTGAGCGCCGTCGACGATGGGCAGACCTTCTATTGTCACTCGCATCAGCTCCCCAGCGAAGTGGGCGTGGGAGCTGGCGAGGGCGCGGACAATGCCGGCCAGCCGATCAGCACGCCCCAGGTGCTCGAGGAGCCGGAGCAGACGAAGGACCAGTCTCGAGCAGGAGCAGCTGCTGGTGAGGAGGCTGCCAAGGCAGAGAACGCCGACAAGAAGGAGGAGGAGGAGGCGGAGCCAAAGGAGATGCTGATCAACATGCTCGAGGAGGTCAACATCACACGGTACCTGATACTCAAGAAGAAGGAGGAGGACGGGCCCGAGGTGAAGGGCGGCTACATCGACGCCCTCATCGTGCACGCCAGCCGTGTCCAGAAGGTCTCCGACAATGGTAGGCATTCGCAGAAGAAGAAGCACAAGCAGCACATACATACCAAATCCCATTCGCATGGTCATTTACCCAACGCCTCTGTTGTCTCTGTCCATTCCGTTCGTGCAGCATTCAGCGAGGCCTTCATTACCACTTTCCGCACCTTCATCCAGCCGATCGACGTGATCGAGAAGCTAACCCATCGCTACACATACTTCTTCTGTCAAGTGCAGGAAAAACAGCAGAAGGCCGCCAATGAGACCTTTTCGCTGCTGGTCCGAGTCGTCAACGATCTCACGTGAGTTCCTAGTCATTTCAATCTTGCAGTCTAGGGATTTAAACCAGTTTGAAAATAATAACTACATATTTGGAGGGTTTACATCCCCAGAATGCAAGAAAATACACAATTATATTTGTTAATTAGGTTTAGAGCATTGAAGAAGGCACCTGGCTATTACACACCTGCTAATCCTTGTCTTTTCCGTCCAGGTCGACGGATCTCACCATTCGGCTGCTGAGCCTGCTGGTGGAGTTTGTCTATCAGTTGGTTTGCTCCGGCCAACTCTACTTGGCCAAGTTGCTGCGCAACAAGGTCGTGGAGAAGGTGATGCTGTACAAGGAGCCCAAGGTGTACGGCTTAATCGGGGAGCTGGAGTTGGGTGGAGCTGGTGGTGCCATTGGAGCGAGCGGATGTGGTGGTAGCAGCGCAGCTGGTGGAGGAGGAGGCAATCAGCCCAGCCTGCTGGACCTCAAGTCGCTGGAGATTGCCGAACAGATGACGCTGCTGGATGCTGAGCTGTTCCAGAAGATTGAGATACCCGAAGTATTACTATTTGCCAAAGATCAGTGCGAGGAGAAGTCGCCCAACCTCAACAAGTTTACCGAGCACTTCAACAAGATGTCCTATTGGGCGCGCTCCAAGATCCTGCGCCTGCAGGATGCCAAGGAGCGGGAGAAGCATGTGAACAAGTACATCAAGATCATGAAGCACTTGCGCAAGATGAACAACTACAACTCATATTTGGCATTGCTGTCGGCCCTCGATTCGGGTCCCATAAGAAGGTGAGTTCTACAAAGCGTGAAGTCCTCAAGGCCTTTGCTAAATCCTTGCCTTTTCCTGCAGATTGGAGTGGCAAAAGGGCATCACCGAGGAGGTGCAATCCTTCTGCGAACTCATCGATTCCAGCTCCAGTTTTCGCGCCTACCGCCAGGCCCTGGCCGAAACTAGTCCGCCCTGCATACCCTACATGTAAGGATGCTCCCCTCCTCCTTTGTAATCCCGATCCAAAGCTAACGAATTCCACCCTTTAGCGGCCTAGTTCTGCAGGATCTGACGTTCGTGCATGTCGGCAATCAGGACTACCTGTCCAAGGGCGTCATTAACTTCTCTAAGCGCTGGCAGCAGTACAACATTATTGTCAACATGAAACGTTTTAAGAAATGGTAAACTATCTGTTTAAAAATACCCCTTCTCAGTAAAATTATAAATGAGCTTAACTTTCTTTTCCGCGTACAGCGCCTATCAATTTCGACGCAACGAGCGCATAATACGCTTCTTTGACAACTTCAAGGACTTTATGGGCGAGGAGGAGATGTGGCAGATATCCGAAAAGATCAAGCCGCGAGGCCGCCGCCCCGTCAACTATTAGTCTTCAAGCAGCCACAGCAGAACACCAATATTATATATTACAAGAAATATATATACAATATTAATTAAATAGTGCAAAGGGTTGGCACGTCTTGGAGATGCATCATCAGGAGCAGCCGAAAAACTATTCTAATGGGTCTGAGCATAATGTTCGCTATTCTCTGTCTATATATACAATTATACAAGATAACTAGCTATAGTTACCATCCGATGCTGGATCAGAAATACATACACTTAAGATGTAGAAATTCAGATACGGATACACGTAGCCGCGTACAAATAACGAGCCGATCTGTAGTTTAACTATTAAGCTCTATGACGGTTGGGCCGCGGTCCAACCTCAGCTAACTCCCCACCAATAATCGAGTCCCTATCTACAAGTCCCTGTATTTTCCCCGGAATTTTTGCCAGCACTAGAACACCAAACTTACGAACCACCAGAGACAACCAATCAAGAAATCAGCAATTTTCGCTTTTGTTTTGAGATCTCTTTTTACACAAGAACACAACGAATTTTTGGAATCAAGCTACGTGTACGTAGAGGCCAACCGAAAAACTATATCCGATGATATATGTAGCGATATCTCGGACTATAAATCGATGCAATCCACGGGCAGAACACCAAGCTACCAAGCACAAAGCGTTATATGCAATTCTCTCAAAACAACCAATAATTAATACCTAATCCTGTGTGTTAGAAGTTATTGAATATAAGACTCAGAACCGAATTCGGATTCCAGAGTGCAAAAAGCAGAGCAGTGTCGATCAAATCAATCGATCGAATCAAAAATTCATTTCGCGACTCAATTAATCGAAACAACTTTTAAAGTTACAAAAAAAAAAAACCAATGGGAGATTATCTAAATTCAATTTGCTTTTAAATGTACGACTAACATAACAAAAATATTTATGGGCATGTAATAATAGTTCTAAATAAAGCTTTTGACTCCTCCTTTCGATTCTGCAAGGAATAAATTTATTGATAATGTGTGTAAAAATATTAAAAAAGATAAGAACTTTAAAGCTGAGTTATAAATTAACGATATCGAAATTAAATCGACCTCATGATGTTTTTACTAAGCAAAACTCTGTCTCGTCTGAAAATATTGTAGTCTTATTTATAAATGGGAAAAAGAAAAAAGGCTGCTTATTTGAAGAATTTAATTCCCGATCACCATAGCTATTTTTATTAAAAGTAAATATTAATTTGTGTTGAGTGAATTCGGTCTTCTTATTGCTGCTGCTTCCGCTGCCGATGGCGCATAAATTATGTTTACTAAGCTAACGAACCTAAGGATAACAATTTACTCCTTTTTTTTCTCCTATTTTTTAATTAAATATATTGTATATGTATGTATGTATATTAAACTTAACTGACTAGTTGATATGTCATCATGCAAAATGACTTCTTATTGGGGGGAGGAAAATGGGGTATATGTAAAGTTGCATATAATTTTAATTTTTAAATTTCAGTCGCCAAAGTCTCAGCTCTCACCAATCGTTGGCCTGTCTATCATGACGAACAAGGAACAAAAAATCTATAAATTTATCGCATAAATATTTAATACTTATTATTCGCTGTTACTCGAGTTAATTAAACGTAATATATTACATTGGGATATTTCATTTTAAATATTGCTTCCGGAAAATCTTAAAAGTGGACTGAAAGTTGCATACTTTTAGACAGTCGATCGTTCGTTCTGATTATGCCTTTATAATTGCTTACTTTTGAGCACTATTTCCTTTTCAGACTTTAATTAACAGTTGCACTTATGCTAACGTTTTTTATTACTTGCTGCTGATTATTTAAACTGCGCCACTTACTGAACATTGTGGGCACCGCCATAAGTCCTGAATTTAGACTGTGTTGGCACCTAAATTGGAATATTTTTATACTTTTGAAAAAAAAGGAAAAACGGATTTTAGCCAAGCGACTGGGGAATGCAATTCATTATTGAATAAAAAAAACAATGGATTAGCATTAGAACGTAAAAAATGTTGGCCAGATTTAAATAAATAAACTTCAAAATTAAAATTTTAGACAACTTTTGGCCTGCAATAGAAAAATGTGAATGAAATCAAAAGGTCCTTATAATTCCGTTTTAGTTATTTCCTTTGCTGAGTTAAAAATTTGAGCGTAGTTATTAGGAAAAAATACACAAATTTCATTTCAAATTCTTTATATCTAGAAATGGGCACTAAGTCAAGTCAAAATTGATCAAAAATCCGGATTTCAATGTTTCATATAAAATTTTCTTGATTTTTACTCCATTAAAATTTGTTCACCAACAGAGAACAGAGAAAGGTAGGGGGCTTACATGTTAATGAATCCGAAATCAAGACACATTTTCTTCTCAGTTTTATATATTTTTTAATAAATTAAATAAAATGTTTTTAAGAGAGAGGCTGCGGTTAAAAGAGGCTTAAGAGAGATCTTAAGATTGTTTGGCGGTTCGAGAGAGTAAGGCAGCAAGAGAAGTGCTACCAATTTGGCCATTTTCACGCAACTTTTTCTTTTAAAAACGAGTTTATAAAATTTATTACTGAAAATAAAATAATGAATTCTGCAAACTATTGTCTAAATTTTGACCAGTTTGTTTTTGGACTGTTGGCTAACAACGCTTTCTTTTTTTGAATACAGTACATTTTCCATTTTCCTAGGCAACATTTTGAATATTGAAAACGATTTTCGGATTGTCTGGCTAATGCAAATTTGGTAGGAACAGTTTTATATTTCGAAATATAAAAATGGAGCAAAGGCAAAATAAAGTACATATACATATGAAATTACTAAATGTATTCTAAACAAATAAACTTAAAGTAATAAAGACCCTAAAAAACACTACTGTTTTATTAATCAGGTAAATGTATTCTGTATGTATTCTTTGCCTATATTTTAGTTTTCTAGCTATTTATAAATGGTGACGAGACCGAAGACTTGGCATCACTGCGATTCGATCGAAACGATCCCCGGGTTTGTTGGATTGTTCAGATCAGCTCAGGAGCTGCAACGCGACGGTCGCACACCGAAACCCTGCGCGACTTAGTGTGATTGTTTCGCTTCGTTCAAAAACATCACAAATAAACACCACCGGAAGAAAATAAAAAGACATAGTTATTTGGTTTTGTAAAAAAAAAAAATATTTCCCAAAAGTCAATAATTCTTACATTTGCCTGTAAAAAAGACTTTCGACGGAACGAATATCGTGCAAGCTTCAAGGCTCAAGGAATTCGGCAAATAAAAGTGATTTTTTTTTTGAACCCCCAATCAGGCTTTATTTGTTTCCCCCTTTTGTTTTGTCAACCAAGTCAACTGCCAATCCAAACGATCCGACTGCTTTTTTTTGGGCTCGGCGACAGTTAAACGAGTACGTAAAGTGTGCAAATTTGAAAATGAAAACTAACCTGTGATCTTAACTTTATGTGATTGCTGTGAATATTGTCAGACATCAAGAGTTAATCGCGCACAAGCGTATTTTAGCGATAAGAACTAACTAAACCACAAAAGAGCGAAAACACTTGCAGTTTTTTGCCATATCAATGGGGCGATTGTCCGTTCAATTTCAATTAATATCCCTCCCCCTGCGCTGTCAACCTCCTTGATCGAATCGATCAAGAGTTGAAGTTCAGATTGAAGGCATAAGTGCTGATCGATCGTAACGGAAATTGAAATTGAAAACGAGAGGCGTCTGGGTGAAAAGTGCACAGAAAAAAAGTGTGTGGGGATCGATAAGAACCCTAATATAAAACTAAAATACCAATAAGAAAATTCTTCTCGGATAACGGGTAATTTTATTCAATTAGGTACATAATTCTATATGTTGCAATTATTTATGAGTCCAAATATAGAGGTTAGAGGTTTAATGTCTGAAAAATGTTTTATTTTTATTAATATCGAGTCCAAATTTGATTGGTGGTATATTAAAATCTGTGTACTCAAACTACCAAAACCGCTATTTTAAGATTTGGGAAAGTTCAATTTAATCAATATTTCCATTTCGTTAAATATTATTTTTGAATATTAAGTAGAAATGTATGGGGAATGGTTGATTTGGCTAACATTCAAGTAAAAATAAGGTCGAAAATAGGTAGGTAGGTAGGGTATTTGGGGTGCTCCTTGGCCGCCTGTACTTGACTTGCCCGTTTTGGCGCGCTCGAAAGGCGTGAAAGTCATTGTCCAACGTTGGCCATTTGATTGCCAGCTCCTGGGAGCTGGATGTTGGATGCTGGAAGCGGCGATCTGCGAACTGGTAATGGAGTGGAATGGTGGCTGTGCGACTGCGCGTTGCCTGCCTCTTCAGCATGCATATAGACACACGATGGCCTCATCGGAATCGGAATTCTGAGGCTCTCAAGTAGCTTCTGCTTTTGGCTTTCCTGCTGCTTCTGCTGCTGCCGGTCGTCGTCCGTCTTCTGGCCAGCCTGCGTGTCTCGCTGGCAGTCTCTCTGCCACTCCTCCACCTCCCCTACCTCCTCTTCTCTTACTCCTCGACCTCCTTCGGCACTTGAGCCCACTTGGAGACAGGCGTTGTTATCCGCCTGTTGTCTGGCTCTCCTCCTTCTCCTTCTCTTCCTCCACCTCCTCTTTCTCCTCCTGGTCCTCCTCCCTTTCCACCCTCTTCTGCCACTCAATTGGTGATCGTTATCATTAGTAGGAGTAGCAGCCAGGATTAATGGGTTGCGCCAGTCTACAGAAGTTCGAATAGCACAGCACCCTCTAGGTCAGGTGTCACAGTCACAAAATGACCTACACAGGAAAAAAAAACGTATGCTATTTGAAAGGAAAAACATAAAAATATCACAAATTATACGGTTGATATCTGCAGTTATTTTTAAGATTAAAACATATTTAAAGCGTGAACAAGAGTTAAATAAATTTTAACTATATTTTTGAAAGTATAACTCTATTCAAACATAACATTTTTTTAAGATACATATAACTCATTTATAGCTTATAGATATTGTATTTAATGCCCGAATTGGGAGGAGATTTTGGAAAGAATTATGTGTACAAATTTTGTTCTATGTAATTCAGAAATCTGATGTTGCAAAGGTGGTTAACGGAAGTTAGCCTCTGGTCGTCCCGTCTTCTCTCCCAACCGAAGGGCCTCCAATTGGCCAAGTTTAGAGCTGGGTAGAGTATCTTTAGTTGACCAAGATGTTTTTGTTGGTGTATGTGTGTGTGATTGTTGTTTCATTAAGCAAACAGAGCTGCAAGTGCCACTTGTTATCGTTGTTGTTGCTGAGCACTGGACATCATTTAAATCAGTAAAATCGGTAGTCGGGAAAGTAACTCTCCCTCTCCTATTCCAATATAACTCTGTGTCTATGTGTGAGTATGGATTTAAAATCCTTTCAGCCGATGACTTCTTCTTATTCTCCTTCAGCCAACAATTTGTTGGCACTTTTTTTATATAAACACAAAACAATAAATAGAATATACTGGATATGGTTTATAGGAAACTTATTGTTTAATTTATCCCTTTTTTTTTACAACTGGGTGGGGAATTTAAAAAGGCTTCAGAAATCTTCAGCTTGGAAATTTCTTTATAAAAATTCTCTCAAGGCATTTTTTAAAAGCTTATCATACTTTTAGAGAACAGTGTTGATGATTTTTTCTGTGGATATGAATGAATATTGTATAATTTTTTCCGGTGCATATCAATTTTTTTGTAGGGATTGTTTATGGACCTCTTGCTTCTCGCTTGCACTTGGTGTGTACCATTTATGGGTGTGCGAGAGTGGCTGTGAGCGTGCGATTTCCAGTCCCTCTTCACCGCTCCTCCCACTCCTTTTCCCAGTCCACTCCACTCCAGCCCAGTCCAGTCCAGTCCACTCCAAGGGGCAGCTTCTTGTTCCCGGCTATGTTGCCGTTGTTGTTGCCTTTTGTTGTGCCTTGTGTATGTGTTTTTTTATTTTCACGTCTCATCGTCGCGTATTTGTTGTTGCCCCTGTGGAGGCTGCTTCTTTATTTTCTTGGTAATAAGGTGTGAGAAAGGCAATAATCGTAAAGAGCTAACAAATTGTTGTTGCTGCTGTTCCTACTTTGATTGCTACTGCTTCCCATCCTCGTCCTCCTCCTCCTCCACCACTGCCATCTCCCTCTCTCCTCTTTCTCTGCATGCTGTCTTGTCGCCAGTTTCACGCTAAAATGTTAATCTGTCCCTTTTTCTCAAGTCGAAGCAATTATATCGTTGACGACAGCAACAACACCAACAACAACAGCAACACATGGCCTCATCTTCATTCCATCGACCTGATATGGAGTTTGATAATAATGCTGCCCGCCAGACGACTGATCCTCACCTCTTCTTCTCTTGCTGCACCTGATCTTCCAACGGATACAAATACACTGGGAACAAGAAAGATCAAATGCAGGAACTTAAAACGCAAATTCTTAGACTCCCAAAGAATCGTATAAGTAATGGATAAACCTCGTAGCAAACAAGGAACCTAAACCAAATGTTTTAAGTTGCTATTCAACAATCACATCTGTTTCCCTTTCGATTCAGCAAATTGAAATACAAATCTAAAAGTAAAATGCTGGAATGCAATTGCCTAATTTAAGTTTAAAATTATTATTATCATGGAAAGCCCCATGGGTTTTCAAATTCATAAGTCATACTTTGATGCAAGTCAAGGGTCTCTTAGTCTCTGACTAAGCTTTTCGGTACACCTCGATTTGCTAAGTGCGATTTGCTGGAAATTCCGACTCAGATTCCAAATTTGATTGACCATGAATAAGATTATCTATGCGCCTGGGCCGGCTATCGCCATCGTGTGCTCGCTTATCGGCTGACCATTATTTAGCACGAAATAAAAATAATTTCAAAACAAAGCGTGAACGCTGTATTTATAGGAGATCGAGGTCTGGCCTGTTCCCGATCCCCAGATCAGTACTTCCGCCTACGATCCTCTAACCGCTGATTCAATTACGAATCGGATATACGTGGGAGCCCTGGGAATCCAGAAGTAGCAATTAGTTCACTTAACTAAAGCGATTCCCAGGCCGTTTCGCAGAGGAGTTGGAGTTATGTTCTGCTGATCTCCGATCTCTCCACTTCCACAGCCCAGGGGAGAGTCTTCGAGACTCTTTAAATCGCTGGCCGATGTCATTATCTCCAAGTAATTCCTCATAATCGCCATGTTTGATCTTATTAAGACAGCTTAACTTGTTTTCTGGCCCATCATCGTCGTTTGCCCTGTCCCCGGTTCGGATCTCGAATCAACCCATTCATACGTGATGGACAGAAAACGCTCGATCGATCGCTTGTCCAGTCTACAGTGCTGTCAGGCTTTCAGAGGCGCAAGAGCTGTTTTCTAGCGGGAATTTATATATTATACTCCACTTATCGGAACGCCAGGCTTACAACTAAATTTTTTACATACTGCAATACTAAGAGGTCTGTGCTATGAAGTTATACTATCTAGGTCTATTGCATCTCGATTTCGGAAAGACAAAGCTCTTAAAGTGGTTTAATTATCTATTAACCTGCTTCAAAACTAGGTTTATTAACTTAGATCGATTTTTTACTTTTTTAATGGTGCAAATTTTCGAAAAATGCTCTTGCAGAATAGTGCCCCAAAATCTGCACGATCCTTAATATACCAAAATCTGATTTAAAAGTGATTAACCTCTTAATGATTTTGATTTAAATCTTAATTCAAATGTAATCATGCCAGTTTTCATACTAAACTACTCACCGAACTGAGCTGCAAGTTGTGGTCAGGTGAAGTTGTTGATAAAGCCAGATGCGATACCCAGCTAAGCAGGCATCACTGAACCGCTCTTTTGTCCACTGTTTGGCATCCACTGTCCGTTCACTTGTTGGCCGTGTTAAACGTCTGGCTTCTGGCTGTCCAGTCTGCCGTGTAACAAGGCTGGCTGGCTGAAGCTAAAGCTGGAGTTGGAGTTGGAAATCGCCGACTGGGCCGGCCCTCGTTGACTTGGGTAACTTCACACCAGGCAAAGTGCTAACGACTTTGTACCTGATCCCCCACCACCTCTGCCCCCGTTCGAGAGACTGACTGCCCTTTACCGATTCAATCTGGCTAAACCGAAGTTTGGGGGGTTTTCGACGGGGGCAGGGAATGGGGATGCACCGGAATGGGGACACTTCAATTTGTGGCCGGCATAGTATCTTTTCGTTTATGCTTTATATGCGACAAGGGGCTGGCAGAAGGAGCTCAAATGATTAATAAACTCAAGTTCAGATCAGATTAAGAAAAAAAGCTAAGACTTGAGTCCATGTCAAAGTACCTAAAACGATATTCACAAACTATATATCCGAAATGTTTTAATCTGACTAAGGGGTTTGGGTATTTAAGCCAAGTTGCTGCTTACATACTAAATTTAAAGCATGATCTAAGTTCACTAAAAACAAAAAAGAAATTAATTAAGATTATTGAATACATGATATTAAACAGATCCATAATAATATTAAACAGATCCATAATAAATATTGAATAATGCCTTCAGTTTGGCACAATAGTTAGTTTGATATAACTCAAATTCTAAGGAAAAAATCGTATTCTGTATACTAGTTGGCTTAGGAATATTTCTCAAAAACTATTTAAGATGGAATACTGGGGTCTGAGCAAATAGATAATGCCAGCGATGTGTCGCGTCCAAAGCAGCGAAACCGAATCGCAAATAGATCGAGTGTCTGCAAATATGGCAAAAGATAAACAAACTGCATGGGTGTGGAATTGGCAATCAGTGATCGGGAATGAGCAATCAGATATCCGATATCTGGAGGGGATTGGAGATCGGGGGGCCAGGCTAAACTGCACAGCCATCGTCGATTTTTAATTTCGATCTCTGTTTCTGTTTGCTTTGGCAGCTGGGGGAAAGATGACACATCAGGGCATTGGTTGCGTGGTCAAGTGGTTCTATCTGGTGCTGATCGTGCACACGCTCCTCTGCATCGGCCAGCTCGAGTGTCGCGAGCACCACAATCGGAATAACAATAACAATAACAGAAGATCGGACTCGTCCAGTTCCGAGGAGAGCCATGGCAACGCCAGTGATGGCCTGGACTTTGCGGACCAGGACGGCGGGATAGGTAGCCACCAACAGCGGCGAGGTCAGCGGAAGAAACATCAGGGCGGCGGTGGAGGAGGAGGTGGCGGCGGCGGAAACGGAGGGGGTGGTGGCAACCGGCACAGCCGCAACGAGGAGAGCGGCATCTCGCTGTGGATCAACGAGCAGCAGCTGAAAATGCTGACCGGTAAGTAGGCAATCTTAATCTTAAACTCTTAGCAGAGTCTTTCAAATGGAGACTTATTTTCGCTAATACTTACTGCAGACAGACCTGGACGTGTACTGATCCACTTCTCCTCCACAGCGCTCTATTTTCCGCAGGGCTACTCGGAACGCCTGTACGCCATCCACAACAGCCGGGTGACCAACGACCTGCGCGACACCACGCTGTACAACTTCCTGGTGATTCCGTCCGAGGTGAACTACGTGAACTTCACCTGGAAGTCGGGACGACGTCGGTACTTCTACGACTTTGACCGCCTGCAGACGATGGACGAGAGCATCCTGAAGGCGCCGACGCTGTCCATCCGGAAGAGCGGCCGCATTCCGCAGGAGCAGAAGAGTAAGTAGAGCGGGCTGCAGTTGTAGCAGTTGAGATCAGATCCCGGCAACGAGCCTCATCCCAAGCCAGATTTTAGCATATTCCTGCCCTGCACCGGCAACAGTTCCGGCACCGCGTCCTTCAACGTCGGCCTCAAGATCCAGACGCGCAACAACAAGCCGCTCTCCGGCACACCCATTCGCCTCAACTTCAAAAAGGAATGCGCCCACAGAGGTGTGTATGATATAGACGCTTCCAACCCTACTTCACTAACAACTTTGCAAGGTAGTGTATATGAAATATCAAGCAATGCTTTTATATAGTCGATAGTAATTGTATTTAGCATCTACGTATTGTGCACACTCCTCCCATCAGCTCCTTGAGCCAATCCCTGCATGCCGTCCTCGCCCAACCGAATCCCATTACCCCCTCCCCCCGCCATGTAGTCGCTTTTCACGGCTTTTCCGCGCCCAGCTTTCAGCTTTCCCCTTATCAAAAAATTACTTTAAAGCTATTAAATATTAAATATCCTATAACTTATTCGAATTTATGCCGATTCCGATTATCATAAACTTCTATACAAAAAGAATGAATCATTTTTTGATTGCCATATAAATTCATAATTTCTTTTTATGATAAAACTTGTACTTGTACTTTACTTTTTTTTTATAAATAAGTGTTACTTACATATCCATTTTCCAAGCTTCTTCAAATTTCTTTCAAAATCGTTTTGGATAATAGATCACTGATAGTTTCAAAGATTCGAACCGCCCTCCACTCCCATGCCAACCGCTTTTGTATCTATCTATCGATCTCTGTATCCACTGTCCACTCCAACTTTCCCCCTCTTTGTGGTTCCGAACGTGCTCCGTTTAGTGTGAGTCTAGATGTGACTGAGTGTTAAATGAGTGTTAATGCCTCGTGACCCGCGAACGATTGAACTAAACTAAAAAAACTTAAGCTCCCGATCCAGAATGCAGCTTGAAGTGCGGCAAGAACGGCGTCTGCAACGACAACCACATCTGCAAGTGCAAGGTGGGCTACACGGGCCAGTATTGCGAGACGGCCTTCTGTTTCCCGCAGTGCCTCAACGGTGGCAACTGCACGGCTCCGTCCATCTGCACCTGTCCGGAGGGCTACCAGGGCACCCAGTGCGAAGGTGGTGAGTACCGGACATCTTTAATATTTAGCTCTATCTTTAATGCTTAACACCGTGCGGGAACAGATAATTTTGGTATATACAGGGGGCACTTCTGATCCGGGCTAGATCTTCTTGGAGATGGCAATGGCCGTCTTGCAGCCGAACTTGATAACCTCGGTCATCGCTTTGTAAAAGGGCGCCTGCTCGGCCCCATGATCGATGCCCGTGTCGTGGTGTTCCTGCTCCTCGTCGCGGAACTTGGTGATTGTCTCCAGCAGCTCCTACAAACTCATTGATCACAATTAGTTTGAACGAATTTGGGGGCAGCAGAGAGAAGCTATACCTTGTCCGGGTTGGGTGCCTCCATGATCTGGCGCAGCTGGTCGTTGTAGTGCTCCACAATCACCGTCTCCACGGCCACCGTGCAAGCCATCGCCGCCTTTTCGCCCATCAGGGCTGTTCCAGCGCCCAGCACAAATCCGGCTACGTTCCACAGCGGCGTCATGATCGTCGGACGCACACGATGCTGCTGGATGAGCTGCTCGAACTGCTTGCGGTGTTCCTTCTCCTGCTCCCACATATGTCCGATGGTCTTGCCCAGAGGTCCATTGCCCAGAATGGCCATCTGCCCGGCGTAAATACGATCTGCACCCAATTCACCGGCATGATCAACGCGTATGATCTCGTCCGTCAGGGCATTTGGACGAGGGCGCAGGGGCGTGGCTGCTGATTCAGTTCCTTTAACACTGGCTGATCCTCCTGCTGCTGAGCTAAGGCAACGCATAGAGAGCAGACGCGGCTCGGGACTAAAGAGGACTCCCCTCAGCATTGTGGCTGTTAAGGAGAAGATGATATGTAGATATAAGATAATTTTGTAGATTCTGTGGGAAAAGTGCGGGCTTTTAGTCATAGGTAGGACTTCTACAGTGATCATACCCTAACTATAATCATTTTCTAAAAATACCCCTTAATCCCTCTGCACTCGGCAGGTATTTGCAAGGAGAAGTGCTTGAATGGCGGCAAGTGCATACAGAAGGACAAGTGCCAGTGCTCCAAGGGTTACTACGGCCTGCGCTGCGAGTACTGTGAGTAGCGAAGCTGCCTGATCCTCGCCGGAGTTCTGATATTCCGATCTCCTCCACAGCCAAGTGCGTCATTCCCTGCAAGAACGAGGGCCGGTGCATCGGGAACAACATGTGCCGCTGTCCCAACGGATTACGTGGTGATCATTGCGAGATCGGACGCAAGCAGCGCTCCATCTGCAAGTGCCGCAACGGAACCTGCACCTCCCACAAACACTGCAAGTGCCATCCGGATTTCTACGGGCGCCACTGCAACAATCGTAAGTGCATATTCCCCGATCTGGGTTATGGTTATAAATCCTAATGATGCCTTACATTTTATAATCCTTTCAGGCAAGCGTAGACATGCCCACCGAAAGGGCGACTCCAAGTTCTAGACGAATCGTGACTTTTCCACGGGCTTCCGGGCGCACACGATCTATTGTAATATTCATTGAACTTGAACACTTTTCTACTAAAAAGCACAGCAACAACAACAACAACAGCGACAAAAGGATGAAACAAAAATAATTCTAATTGTGATAAAATTTTTTTGTAATTTAACATTTTTAAATAAAAACAAAATCTAAGAGTTGACAGGGTCTGATCTTGTCAAGATATTGGCGGTCAAGGGTGGGGTGGGTCAGGTGCTCCGCCTACTCTACTTACTTATTACTTATCAACAGTTCTTTCCAGGTATTCGCAAAATAAATAAAATTAAATAACCATCCGAAGTCGGCGAGCTAAAATAAAGTTGTGTTTATTATGTGCAGGGATGGACAATCACTATCAGCCGGCCACTGGAATAATCACGAATCTTTGACCGTGATTCGTGATTTTCACCGTAATTAGTGTCTCGGGATAATTCCAGTTGACTGCAAGTAAAAATCGGTGTAAAGGGGGGCACATTTTTCAATAATTATGGTTAAATTCTCTAAAAATCTCCGTTTAATAATTGGTTTGTATTTTTTGACTGATATTTTTTGGTAATTTTTATGATGGGGTTACCCTTTCCAAATATTCGAAAAATGGCTTAGCAGAAAAGTGATTTTCTTACAGACATCCGATGTAGATGTAGATATGCTCTCTTTATTTAAAATAATATTCAAATACTTTTTTATATGCTTGAAATTTCAATTACTACCTGATAATTTCCAATTTTGCTATGAAATCCACATTCAAAATGTAAAAGTATGAGGAAAACCTCTGAGAATTATGACGTATTCACACTTAAAAATGATAAGCTTTTAAAGATTAATTTTTAATTTAATTTATTATAATGTACATACCCATAAAATCCTTGATGGAGTGCATCCAGTCAAAGTAAGATGGTATCGTTGTGAGCCGCCTTCAACCGCTCCTCAATTACAAATACTCACACACACTAATAATCTCGTATTTGAATTTATACAATTTATAAGGTAAATTAATTTAAAATAATATAATTTTCGCACCTTAAAAGGTCCTTGATCTTACATCCTGGTGAATATCCAAGTCAGATGTTATAAACATTCATCTGAATCCCTTCAAGAAACACACACTTACACTTTCTGACATCCGAGTAAACTGATTTTTGAGCCGCCACAACCCTTAGGTCGTAATTTTTTGGCTAGAACTTGTTGGGAATTGTAATTCCAAGTGCAAGTAAAAATTCATTTTTAATATTACATTAACATTACGTTAGGATTACATGGCTGTTATCTGACATTAACCAAGTCTTATGTTGACTGTTAATTGTTGATAAATTATTAATGATTGTTTGATGGTTTATTGTTGATTGTTGGTTGTTGATTGTTGATTGTATATTTATGATTGTTGGTTGTTGACTGTTAATTGTTGTTTAAAGATTGTTGATTGTTGATTTTGGACTATTGATAGTTGGTTGTTAATTTTTGATTGTAGATTGTTGCATGTTGACTGTGTATTTATGATTGTTGTATGTTACATGTTTCATGAAGCATGTTTCATGAAGCAAGTATCATGTATCATGTTGTATGTTGCATGTTATATGTTGCATGTTGCATGTTGGATGTTGGATGTTGCATGTTTCATGTTGCCTGTTGCATGTTTCATGTTGCACGTTACATGTTGTATGATTCATGTTTAATGTTTATTGATTATTGATTATTGATTAATGTTAATGTTGCATATTGAGTGTTGCATGTTTCATGGAATACTTAGAGCGAGTGTGGCTTAGTTCTCTAAAAATTTACGTTTACATTTTGGTTTTGTATTTTTGGGTAAATTATTCAAAATGTAAATGTTAAGACTAATTTTGAAATTAGTGAAACTACACTGCACGAAATAAAAAACTGTTTCTATCCTGAGGTGATTTTGCATCCCTGGCGTATCAGGTGGCGATAGTTTGATAGTCACGCGCGTCAGCTGTGCCTTCCGTTACCCCAAATTCAAAAACCAAACTGACCCAAAGCCTTTAATGGTTCCTCTGGATTTTCGAGGTCGAGGGCTTACGTGTATCTTCACTAATTTCACCAAGTTAATCTATGATTGCCTGTGTGGTGAGGTGCGGGCTGGGCGTGATTATAGCGCCGCTATATAAAACCCACTCCCCAGTCGGCCCCCAAAACAGTCTCGCTGAGATCACCATTATCGTAGTAACTGGCTGGTGAGCAGGATGGTTATATGTATATCGGAGATGGGGGGCAGGTCATTGAACTGCATGTGAAAGCGACAAGACAATTGACTGCAATTGCAACTCTTCATTCTACAGAGCAAGATGTCAACGCAGCAGCAACAACTGGACTACATTGAGCGCCACTTGGTGTACGACATCTTCAAGTACTTCGGGTCGGGTGTGTCGCTGGAGGGACACAGAGTGGAGTGCTCCAACGGGCTGGACGGATTCATGTCCGCCCTGTTCACCGTTGAGCTGGATCTTGTGGTCGCCGAGCGTAAGCGCACGGAGGTGGTCCTGGTCAAGTTCATGAAGGGCACAGAGGAGTTCCGAGAGTATAGCAACTCGTACATCCAGTTTGCCAACGAGGTGTTCGCCTACGCCGAGATCCTGCCAGCTTACGAGCACCTTCTGCGTACCAGTCACCTGTCCAACGAAGTGGTGGCCAACTGGGTGCCGCGCTGCTACTTTGCCAAGTTTGGGGAAGTCAATGGTGGGTAGAACCAGAAACAATGAGATTATGCAGCCACACTAATCCTTGCCCAATCCTGCAGGCCTTGGAAGCGGCCGTGAATCAGTCCTAGCTCTAAAGCATATCAAAGGCGATGGCTATCAGTTGGGCCCGCGTTTGATCCTCCGCCGGGATCAACTGGAGGCCATGGTGGGTCTGGTTGGACCCTTCCATGCCCTGGGATATGCCACACGAATACTTCAGCCGCAGGTTCATGCCCGCCTGCGTTCAGGCGTGGTGGACATGTCCTTTGTCTCCAACTCGGGCAAGTCCGGTTTCGATGCGCTCTACCGCGTGGCCTTCGATCGCTTCTACGAGTTCTACGATCGGCAGAAAGATCAGCTCATCAAGGACACCGATGCTGGCTTTGCCACCGCCATCGAGCGGTTGCGAGAGAAGTACTTCGCAAATCCCACGCATCTTCTAGAGCGGATTCGCACCACGTCGTACGCCGAGGATCAGCCGGATAGCCACTTTGCCACCTTCCAGCATGGCGACTACAATCGTAACAACGTGCTCTTCCACTATGGCGACGATGGCCAGGTGGATGCCATCAAGACCATCGATTTCCAAGAGCTGCGCTTCAGCACCACGGCCATTGACCTGAGCTTTTTTATGTACATGAACACGCCCTCGGAAGGAAGAGAGGAGATCTTTGCGGATCTGCTAAGGAAGTACCACAAGCACATGATCGAAATGCTGGAACTAGTGCTGCATCGCAATCGGGATGAGTTGGGCGACGAGCGGGTGGAGCAGCTCCTGGCGGACTACAGGTGGGTAGAGGATATGTTTCCCATCATCTCCCATGATTTTAATTTCCCTCGCTTCACAGCTATGAACCTTTTGAGGGCCACTTCAAGCGATATGCCTTTTATGGGGTGATGATCTGCATGCATTTCATGCCCTGGCTGCTGGGCAGTGAAACGGATTGCGCCGAGTTGTCCCGGCTCTTCGACACGGACATGCATGGTCAGGCCTTCCATCAACTATCGCTGGACATTGGTGGTGACGTGGCCAACGGGGAGATCTTCAAAACGGTGCGCCACGCCTACGAGCACGGCTACATGGACGAGATATAGGCTCAACCGCACCCTTATCGAACGTTTAAACAATACATGGTCTTGGCCATAATCTCACATTATAAATAGCATCTGCAGAATTTCTCGTTTATGTAGCGATAACATTAAAAAATCTGACTGTTGCATACCCAATATCTGCCTGCTTTGAGACCAAACCAAGTACTGACTTCCAGTTAGACACCGCAGCACACAGGTTAAGTTTTGCGTGGCCTTGATTCACTTTTGAATATTCATATTATACGGCAGCTTTATCAACTGTGATATGTGGCGTCACATCAAAAACACCCAAAATACGGAAATTATTTGAACAACTGCTGGGTATTGGTGGCACAGTTGTCTATTTAAGAAGCACGGCTGCGGGGTCGCCAGGAGTTTAGTTGAAGATTGAATGCGGAAGCAACATGCGGTATATATTTGTGACCTTTCTATTGGCCATTATCCAGCTGTCCGCTGCAGTGCAGGTGCAAACCGAGCACACCATTGTCGAGAAGTGGAGTTGGCGGGACAACAAGGGCAACGGAGATTCCGGTGGCTATCAGTACTCCACAACGCTGGACAATGACGAAGATCTGGACGGCGATGAGGATCAAGACGAAGAGGACGAGGATGATGCCGAGGATCTGCTGGCCCAAGCCAACGCCGCCAGTCCAGACGAGGATGAGGAGAGCTGCGAGTACAGCTGTCCGCGGTACTATCGCCCCGTCTGCGCCCTCCGCAATGGCCGGCAGGTGACCTTCTCCACGCCCTGTGAATTCCATAACCAAGTGCGGTGCGCCAGCGTCCTGAGGAGCCGGGGTCAGGGTGACACGGCGCCCGTCTTTCAGTACCACCACGATGGTGCCTGCTAAATTAAAAGATTCATTCAATTAAGAAGCCGCTTTGTGTTCTACAATATTCCATTATTTGAGCATATTTAAAACGACAATTTAATCAATTGAATGTCGACGTTATATCATAGTCTCCAAATTTATCTCTCCTCCTACTCCCTAACTACTTCTTTTTAAGTCTTACAAATGTAGTAAACATAGGGTCTTAATTACGTAAAAAAAAGGTTTTTTGAATGCTTAATTAGTTTGGAACTAGCACAACTACACATAAAGAGTATAATCAAGGCTGTAAGCCGATGTAATAGTTTTAAAAATAAGTGTAATAATGGTGTGGTCTTAGTCTAGAAAAAAGTTTTACGGTCCAGTGCGGACAACGTAGCTGTTGCGGCGCTTAGTTAGGCCGAGAAAGTTTCCCGTCGTCGTGGCCGGGGCCCTAAGTGGAGGTGTGGCAGCAGCGGATGAAGTTGATAGAACGTTGTTAAGGGCAGACGATCTAGCGACCTCTCTCCCAGCTTGAGCCAGCTGCCGTTGTTGCGCCGGCTCCTCCTGCCGTGATATCCTGAGTAGTTCGTCCGGATTCAGTGTCTTACGGCGTTTTGCGATGCGTCCCAACATCACAGCTGGATGCGCCTGGATCTCAACCTGCGTCTGTCCCGCGACCCCCGTCGACTTAAGTCTGATGTGCAACCGAGGGATTGGCGGCTGCTGGGCCTTGGCCATCAGTTCCTCGTCGAGTTTGCGCATCATGGATTCGTCGTTGTAGCGCGTATACCGCAGACTGCTCTTTGTGATAATCAGACCGTTCTGGAACTGGTAGTGCACCTGCATGAGGAACTTCCTCAGGTCGTTGTATGAGTGCACTGCCCGGAAGCGATGCACATCGTCGCGGTGGAAGGTATAGCAGTGCTGGATGTACTCCTCGAAGCCGCCTTTCTGGTGTCGGGTGCAGAAGTGGCAGTACCGGAAGCGGCTGTAGTGGTCCACCATGTGGCGCAGCGTAGTTAACTCGTCGGACGAGGTGAACATGCAGAAGAAGCAGTGGTAGATCACCGGGGCCTTCAGCTGACGGAAGCAGAATGGTTCGCCGGGCTTGTTGTGCTCCATGCGGCCGTGATGGCCGATCGCCACCTTCGTGGGCATCACCATGCTGCACAGATCGCACTGGTAGTACTCGTTCACGGCGCTGCCGTTTCCACTGGCACACAGTTGCTTAAGGGCATCGAGCTCCGCATCCGTCACTTGCTTCAGGTCGTTGGGCAGGTGACCCAGCCGGTTGATGTGGTTCGCTAGATCCTGCCAGTCGCGATAGCGGTAGTCGCAGTAGGCGCATTCCCCGGGCCGCCGAATGTCTGCGGCAACGATGTTTCGGATAGAGTGCACCTTGACAAGGTGCTCGTCGCGCAGAACTTTCGCGTTGCCCTTGAACATCTTGCACTCGGAGCACAGCAGCTGCGGCTGCACGCGGAAGTAGAAGGGCTGGTCGGGATGGTGTCGGGCCCAATGCTTGGCGCGCAGGTCCTGCAGATTGCTGTTCGTCTCGTCGCAATGCGTGCATGCGAACTCCACAATTTTCTATGGATATGGGGATATTAAGTAAATAAGTTTAATTCCTTCTGCATCTGCCACTTACCGGTTCATCCGACTCCATCTCCATATCGGCCTCACCCTCCTCCGCCTCCTCGTCCGAGGCCAGCAGGTCCACCACTTCCATCACGATTTGTGGCACCTGCACCTTCCTTCCCCCCATTTCCCGACTATGACCCTGTCCCGGCACCTGCTGCTGCTCAAGCTCCACTTCGATGGGCTGTCCCATTTCCCAGCTTACGCTATCGGGCATTTCGTTAACCACGCGTTCAAACTGCATCACAGCCAGTCCGCTTTTTTCCGGATGCATTTTTAAAATGTGCCCGACCACGTTGCGCTCATTCTGATGCCCGACCTCGCAGTGCGGACACTGAAACATGAAACGCGACTTGTGCCTCTCCTCGGAGTGGACGGCGATCTTCTGGAAATTGCTGGCCGACTCGTGACAAAAGCTGCAGTAGAAGCCGAGCAGCTGCTTGTTCTTGGTAACGATGCGCTGGAAGATCTGCATCGGCTGCACGCGCAATCCCGGATGAGTGCATAGGATGTGGTCGATGATCATTGTGGCGGTCTTGTCGCCAAATGGGCAGTAAGGGCAGTGGTACTGGTAGTTCCGGTTGTGAACCGACGCCGCATGAGCCATATTCTGCACGTCCGTGGGAAAGCACTGCATGCACAGGTTGCACGTGAACTCCATCTGGGGCAGGCGCAACAGTTTGGCTGAAGGAGAGGGGGAGAAATACTTGAGATGGCTATTCAAATGCTGGATGGGCATGCGATGCACTTACGTGTCTTTAGCCAGCGCGCGGAGATCGTCCCGTCGTCACCGTGACGGTGCACCACCACGTCCACGTTCTGGTTGTAATGACGATCCTGGATGTGTCGTTCGATGGCGACGCGCTTGTTGTTGTAGCGCTCGCAAGCGCCGCACTGGAAGATGTGCCGCTTGTGCATTAGCAAATGAGCCAGATACTTTTCCACGCTGGCCTGCCCCGTCTGGCGCGTCTTGCAGTGCTGGCAGGATATCATTTCCGAGTACTTGTGTTCGGAAGACATGTGCTGGCGCAGCACCCGTTCCGAGGACAGCACAGTACCACATTTGGCGAAGCCGCAGCGGTAGCGGTTCCTCGAGGGCACATACTCAAACGGCGGTCTGATAGGCTTGTGCACGCCAGGAACTATTGGATCCGGCTGCGGTGGCTCTGGCTGGGAACTTTGTCCGGAAGTACCTGGTGCTATTGGTTCCTCGGCAACTGTAGCTGAGTCAGCTGTTGGGCTTGCAGAGTCTGCCCCTGGCATTACTGCTAACTCCTCCGATTGGTAGGCCTGGTAAATGGCCTCCTCCTTGTGCTTGTAGAGATGCTGCTGCATGGTGGGCCGATCCGAGGTGACGAAGGGGCACTCTCCGCAGCGCAGCCCTCCGGGGAAGTTTTGAACACGGGGCAAGAGGCGCACCTCAGAGCCGCGGAAAACGGTTTTCGTGCCCTGCCGCCGGAGGTCCAGCTCCTCAAACAGCTTGCGCTGAAAACTCTGCATCTGCTGTTCTCCAAAGGGCTGCTCAAGGGCGGCCACATACCAATCGGCTTCCACGCCTTCCTTGGCCACGCCATCAGGCATCGTTTGCAGCTGGATGAACTGCAGCTGTCGGTTGACCAGGTCGAAGGCCTCGCCATGCTCGTTGCGCATGTGGTACAACATTAGGCGCTTGTTGACGGCCGTGGCCAAACAGATGGCGCAGAATATGCTGTGGCGGGCGTGGGTCTGCTGCAGATGCGTACGCAGTGCTGGCGGGAGCATCATCTGGCTGCAGTACTTGCACTTCACCTGGTCGCGGACGTGGTAGCGCACATGGTTCACGAACTGCTCTTCCGTCAGACGCACAATGCAGCCCTTTTGGGGGCAGGCGAACAGTCTGTCCTCTGTAGAAATAAAAACAAATTTTCCGAGTTAACGCAGTTGAAACCCATTTATTTACATGCCAGTTCACTCACCACTGTATCCCGTGGGCCTGAGCAGATCCGTGACCGCATCGGTCAAGGTCACGGGCCCAGTGGGGGGTGCGGCAACTCCTGATCCTCCTGTCGCTGGCACACAGTTTTGCACATTGACGGGCTGGACCGCCGGGATTGCGGCTGGGAGACGGGCGATGTTGGCCGCATTGCCCCGCTGACTAAGCTTGTCCCGGATCAGCTGGCTCACAGAGGGCGGTCCGGTTACACTGTCCAGGTCAGAGCGCGGTGCCAGGTCGTGGATGAACACTCCGTGGCGCAGATAGTCATCCACGTCGACAGCCACGTGAGAGCAATAGGCGCAGTTGAGATAATCGGTGCTACGGAAGCTAAAGCTGTGAAACTTCATATGTTCCCTGACGAACATGACCTTGTGGGCGGAAAAGTTGCAGTTGTTGGCCATGCAACGAAATCGATTTCCCTCCACAGCTACAGAAGCAGCAGACAGCTCAGAATGAGTCTCTCCCACGACTAGCGATGGCACTGCATCCCCGGCCATCTGAGCCCCGCTGTAAACCTGGCTAATGGCCAAGCCCAAACCACTCTGATAGTTTATTATGACAGGCTGCTCGACAGCTAGCTCCGTTGGCGGTGTGTTTGGCTTGGCGCAAAGGAACTCGCCCAATCCGACGGCATTGAAATCAACCTGCTGATTGGGCGGCCGAGGCTCCGCCGCCAGCAGAACCCTGAGCATTTCGTTGGACGGCTCCTCCGCTGCTGGATTGTTCAGACGATCGCCAGTGAAGCGACGAACCCTTAGTTTGGGAAGCACTGGAACAGGTTCAGGATCCGGAACAATGGCCGGTGGCACCTCTACCTCTACCACAGTAGGCGGTTGAGGAGGCAGGGCGGGTCTGTCCACCATGTGCTCGTCCCTCATGTGACGCAGTTCCCCGGATATACTAAGATTCGTGCCCATCGCACTAATCCCCGGGCAGATGGCACATCTGCCACTCCAGCGAACCTGCGGGTGCTCTAACGCAAAGTGATTCTCAAGGCCTTCCAGCTCATTGGAGAAGAGAAAAGTGCAGCCCGGCCGCATGCAGAAATAGGATGCCTGGCGGTGTTGTTCTCCATCTGATGAGGACTTTCGAAAGGCCACATTCTCCACCTGTTTGGGTGGCGACAAGAGACGCGTTGGAGTGACGGCAGCTGCTTCAGGTGTAGCGGAAACAGGGGTCGCTTTCACCTTTTTCGGCACCGGAGCCGGTTCGGGCTCTAGGGGCCGCATCCTGGGCATCAGTTCGCTGGGATCGGGCACATCGTTGCTGCTATCGCTGCTGCTACTCGCAATTGAAGCCACTGGTTTGCCGGATCGGGTGCCCTTCCTTATGCGCGAGCAGAAGCGATTGAAGACATGGAAAATGCTCTTTGAGCCCTTGGAGTTGCGCTTGGCCGTCTCCAGATCAACCCACTCATCGGTGACCGCGCCGTCGTTATCATCGTCATCTTCATCATCGTCGTTTACGTTTTCGCCATTGCCATCGCCATCATCATTTGGCTCAACCGCCGCCGAATCATTGCCAGCGGTTTGCTGGCTCAGCGGTTCGTCCTCTATCTCAACGTCGGAACCATCGCTGCCAATGCCATCGAGTACAGCCAACTCAGCCAAACTGACTTCAGGCAGCTTATGAGCTGAATGCTGCACAGGTGGTCGGTGAGGTGGAGTCACTTCCTTTACAACTAGATCTTCCTCCATTGGCGATGGCTCTGGTTCGGTTGGATCTTGTTCGGTTGGCTCTTGTTCGATTGGCTCTTGTTCAATTGGCTCTGGTTCCACCTGTTCGGCAACCACATCGAGCAGCACGACAGGCTTCTCGTCTACCATCAAGCTCTTGTTTTGCAGGGCCTGTTCTTCGTCCAGGCCCTCCTCCAAATCCGCGTCCATTTCGATATCCATCAGACATTCGTTGATCACCAACACGGGCTCCTTTTCCGGCGGAGGCTGCGGTAGCTCCGGCAACTCTGGATCCACCTCCATATCGGCCGCTTGTGTCTCTTCCTCTTCCCTTTCTCGCTTCACTCGACGAGCCGATTTTTTGGCCATTTTCTTGAACCGGATCTTTACCTTCTTTTTCTGCACTCCCTTTGTGGCCGCCTTTGATGAGATGGGAACATTGGCTTTTGGACTTTCACTTGGTTTGGCGGTATCATCCTCATTTCGTTCCTGGTTAACAATGGTTTTATTCTTTGACTCCTCGCTAGGTACGTCAGCCGTGGTGCAGAGCACCACCTCCTCCCGCCCCACACTCTCCAGCTGCTCCTTCGTCAGGCCGTGCTGCTCCACCAGATGCCGATCCATGTTCTCCTTGTTCTGCTGCACAAACTGGCAGAGATGGCACACGTGGACTTTCATCGGCAGTCGGCCGTTGTTGGGATTGCTCAGAGCCTTGGCGCCCGGCCCACAGGAAGCGGTGTGCATATGTATCTTACTTTGGTGGCTTTGCGGGAAGTTGCAATGGGAGCACTGCTGGCGCGGCTCGCCCAGGTGGGAGTTCAGATGATCGCCCAGGTTCTGCTGGCCGAGCAGGAGTAGCTTCTCGCAGAACGGACACTTGAAGTGGAACACTTTGTAGCTCCGCTGCAAAATCCAGTAGTCCGGACGATTGCCTCGTCCCGCTCGCAGTTCGTCTAGCACTCCTGGTGGCAAACGAGCAGCGAAATGCTCCTTATGATACATCATGTAGTGACAGACAGAGCTCCTGCGGATCGGCTTTAAGCAGACAACGCACTTGATGTTAGCCTTGGACTTTGAGTGCCACTCGGGATTTATGTTGCAAACATTCTTCTTCACTTTGCGCTCCTTCGATGTCTTTATTTGTTCCGTCTCTGGTTGCTGATTTAGCTTTTTGGTAAGCTCTTCCAAGGCAGGACATCTCTTGATCCTCACTCTGCAGCTCTTGGTCTTCAGCAAAGATGCCTTAAACGTGGTTCGATTGATTCCGCTATTAAAGGATCGGGATCCAGGCGTGAAGGCTTTGCCCCTTCGCGCCACATTCCGGATGAAAATGGGACTGGCCATGGAGGGGCTGGATATGCTATCGGGGGTGGGTGAGGCTCGCGCCAAAGATGGGGTTCGAGAGCGCTGGGAACTAGATCGCGTCTGCGATGGAGTGCGGGAACGCCGCGTACAGGCCCTCCGTCCGGTGGCCCGCAGCACATCATCGCCGTAGTACATTTGCGCAATGTCATCGTTCAGCTTATCCAGTTCGTTGCGCTTTTTTCGCGGTTTCGCGCGAGGTTTGGGCGGGGGTGGTATTACGGACTGTGGGACCGACTCCGCAGAGTTTTCGTCCACGTCCATAATGTGGGCATGCATGCTGTTCTCTGCCGGTTGCTTATCCGTTGTATCCCTGACCTCATTAATTTCCTTTGTTTCTAAGCAAGCTCTCTTTGGCTCCACTGAGTTATCAGCAGTTTCCACGTGAATGGTTTGCCTCCTGCGCTTACGATTTGGAGCGGCAACAGGGGCGACTTCTATGGCATCAACTTTTAAAGAACTTTCTGTAGACTTGGCTGCTCCAGGAGCAGGAGTCTTCGCCCTGGAAGTGCCACCATCGTCAGCCTTTGCCCGAGATCTATTGATCTGTCCCAAGCCAAAGATGCTCCGGCTTAGATCCGTCTCGTTAAAGGAGGCCTCCAGACCGCGTGTTCGACGTTTTCCGCTGATAATGTTCTGCGTGGACACGCTACAATTGTCATTTGTCTTCTCAAACATGTTGGCCAGACTGCGGGCGTTCTGAGACTTGCGCCTCTGCTCCTGCAGGTCTTCGTAGAGAAGGCTTGTAGAGATCTCCTCCTTGTTCACCAGCGGCTTACTGGCCGTGGGAGCCATGGAGTTGCGTCGCTGCATAATACGGTGCAGAAGTTGAAGCGAAGGCCCTGGCACCTCCTCGTCGTCGTGCTCATCCTCAAACCGCTCTGATGGCTTTTTGTTCTTCTCATCGTTGAGCACCATCAAAGTGGCATTGGGACCAACAATAATTTTCATCTTAGAGAGCTTGGGAGGGTGTTCATCCTTCCCTTCCGCGTCAACTTTTACTTTGTCGTCTTTCTCCTCGGGTTTCCCCAAATTCGCGTTCGTTGACGTTGCCTCTGAAGTGGAAACACCGCGCTTCCTCGGGGCCTTCGTACCCGTCGGTCCCTTTATCTTATTTAAAATGTCGAAAAGATCCCCATCATCGTCTTGTTCTATCGAAAATGTTGCAGAAATTGTTGCCTTCGAGGTGGAAGTCGTGCTTTCGGCCGCCGGTCCGCCGATCTTGGCTATGATCTCGAGCTCATCGACCGGCGGCTGGGCTTGCTGGCTGTCGGGAGTGCTGAGCGGTAGTTCTGGAAGAGGAGAGGCGTTTGTCTCACTGACGGGCGGTTCGTTCTCCAAGTTGTCTGTGTTTTCTGAGCTGTCCACACTGTTCACGCTCTCTGTGTCGCCAGATTTCTTTTCATTCTCCCTGTCTAGTTGTTTCCTTGCCTTTTTGCCGGATCTACTCTTTTCCTTGTCGGACTTCTTATCCTGCGATTTGTGATGCTTACTGGACTTATCCACATTGTTTTCCAGCTTATCGTTGCCCTTTTCCACCTTTTCTTTATCCTTAGTCTTATCTAATTGTGTATCTTTATTCTTATCTCTATCCTTTTTGGCATCACAGGATTTGCTTGTAGGGGAATTTGAGGAGCAGCTTAGGTTGTCCCCATCTAAATTGACTGAGTTTGGGGTAGTCGTAGCTACTGGCGGTGTTTTTTTCGGAATCCGAAAGTCTAGCTTTTTAGTCAACAGACCGAGAGTGCAGTTGCGGTAGGATGTGTCCAGTTCCGGCACAGGTGTCACTGGTGCCGCTGTGGCAGCCTGACTTTCTTCCAGCTTTCGCTGGTTCTCGGCAGCAAGCAGCTTACGCTGCTTCTCTTCGGCATCCAGTTCACGCTGAGTGTCCGCATCCAATTGGCGTTGCTTTTCTGCGGCCTTTGCCTTGGCTTCCGCCTCAGCGCGAGCCTTAGCCTTCCGGTGCTCCTTATATGTCCGAGGTATATCTTTAGATCGGTCGAATCGGGAATTCTGGTTACCACCACCACCCCGTGGGTTGTGACCTCCACGATATCCACCACGGAAGCTGGACGAGCCATTAAAGCCTCCTGCGTTTCCGCTCCCATTTTGATTACCCATAAAGCCTCTGGCGTTGGGCCCGCTTACCTTGTGACTGCCTCTCCAGCTGGACTTGTTGTAGGCATTTCCAGTTCCATTTCCGTTAACGTTCTGACTATTATTAGGGTTGCCCGACTGCCAACCATTGGCTTCATCGTAGTCATTGTAGATGGTTGAAGCACGACGCGGATCACTGAAATAAGGCAGTACCTGAGGCTGTTGTGGCGACGGCTGCTGCGGCTGCTGCGTCTGCTGCGGCTGCTGATGTGAATGGGCGGGCTTGTTCTGCCAGATTCGAGGATCACGTTGTTCTCGAGATTCAGTGCCATTAAGGCGCCTCGGCTCATGACTCGGTTCCCTTGCTACACCAGCTCCATAAGTTCGAACTCCTCCCGGAGAATCTGAGTTGTACTGCTGAGGAGCATTAAAACCGCTGCCCTCCAGGGGAATGTTCGAATATGGATGCCACGTACCGGACCTCATGCTCGGTGGTGGCGGAATAGGCGAGGGAGAACGAACAGTGGGCGGAGTCACTGGTGTTAAGCTTTCGTTATTGTTGTTATTGATACTGAGCTTGGGCAGGCTTAAGTTCTTCTTGCCGCGCGGATCGTTTATGTTAGAAGACAGTGGTGGCATTTCCTGCCCCATTAATGTTATAGCTCCTTCTTTTAACGCCGCCAGTTTCCTGCGAGCTTCCTTCAGAGTATTTGTGGGACTCGGAATGCTGGGTGTCGCCTGAGCTGGAGCCTCCTTACATGACAAAGGCTGGCCTGCATCTTTTCCGCACAGCCTTGGGGAAGCTTCCTGCAGCGGAACGGGCAGCGGAACGGTCGGCGGAACGGGCAGCACAAGCGGTGAGCTCCGGCGCACAAAATCCTGCTTGTGTGAAGGCCCCAGATTTGCTGGCAAATGGTGGGTGAACTGCGGCGATGGGGTGGCCTTCGCAGCACTTCCTGGATAGGATCGGCGCAAAAATTCAGTTTCGGGCGGAGCAGCAGCGCTTGATTCTTTGGTTGATGGGGATGATGTCGTTTGTTGGGCGTTGGCCCGCTGCTTTTTTTCCTCCATGCGGGCCTCATGCATTGCAGCCAGCACACCGCGATTCAGAGGATTGGACACCAGTTCTGGTTTCTTCTTCTGCGCGGCTGGTACTGTCTGTGGAATGGCTGGTGGTCCTGTATCACGGACTTGAGCTGAGACGGATGGTTCTGAGTCCCTAGGTTTTTGCACCTCATTTGTTGGCTTTGCGCTGGAAATCTTTGGGATGGCCAAGGAGTCGGAAGTCTTAGGGGTGGTCAAGAAACCGGGAGCCTTAAGGGTGGGTAAGGAGCCTGAAGTCTTTGTTGCGTCGGACGAGCCTAAAGTCTTTGTGAAAGAATTGGAGCCGGAGGCACTGGCTTTCGCGCTGGGTCCCGGCTCCGGTGCCTTTGGAGGCGCTGGCTTGGACTTAGTGGCAGCCGATGAAGGGATGAGTGAGCCGCTTGACTTGATACCTTTACTTGGCTGGGGCTGTTTGGCAGGTGGATGTGTGGCGATACTTGACTGATTGGAGGAAGTCGACGAGACAGACTCGATCTCAGTATGGTCACTGATATCGATGATTTCCTTGACGGTGGGCTGAAGCCTCTGCGGGTCCAAAATCAAGTGTTAGGAAAGATGTGATCGTTGATCCACACTCGACTTACCGGTTCGAATTTCGTCCTGAGCTTGCCGATGATCTGTTCGATCTTACTTAGCGTGTTCATTGATACATTTCTAAAAATGAAGGATTGGATGTTGAATAACCAATCTTAGTGGTCGGGTCTAGGTCCATATCACTTACTCGCGCTCCAGCAGGCGGACCAGCGCATCCAACCGCTGACCCTGAACCTTCGAGAGATTTTGCTGGTATAAAGTCTGCACACGCTGGATGAAGGGCACACACGATCGGATCTCCTGCAGTTTGGCCTTGACCTCTTCGACATAGGTGGACCCCTCAACCTCCATTACTTCATCCTCGCTGTCGTCCATGCTGGCAGCTCGATTCGTATCCGACTCCTCTGTGGGTTTTAGGGGTTATTACAAGGGTTAACTGGATGGCCATGTGCATGTAGGGTTCCTTACTCTCCAAATCTAGCACAAAAGCGCACACTTCACACACCGAATGGCAAACACAACTAAAATGTCATTATAATCATGCTGCAAATAGGAAACTATGTTCCAAATCGGTTGACAGATTAATAAAAGGAACACACATGTACAATTCACGGCGTCGCTAAACGAATAACAACAACTGTGGCGCCGAATCCGAACACGGGCTAATGCGATAAATCGAGAAATCGATACTTTCTACTGTCTTTTATCCTTCTTAACATATTTGCGCACATGGTACTGTGCGAGTTAATTCAAGCTGGTTGTTTGGTAACCGTGTTATTTACTTTCCTATCCACCCTATTCCTTAAACCACTTAAAAATAAAAAAATATTATCTCGCGGTATTTTTCCTAGTTGTCTATCGATAGTGCGATAGGCGCACATTGTGTCATCGCTTCTCTCAGGCACACTCGCTAAATAACAAAAAAGCAACAAAACACTCCCCTAAGTGGGCACTTTCAAAAAAACAAATACAATTACAAGGTAATGTCGCAAAGTAAAGAAGGGAGAAAAAGAAATGCGCATTAAAACTACGGCGAAGTGAATTCGCCGCGTGTTGCATTAGTGTGCGTGTGGTAGTTGCCAAGTGTCAGTGTATCAGTGTCGCAGGGCGATCGATTTTTTACTGTTGCTTTTGCAAAGAAAACTAAAAAAAAGGCTTACGATGTTACGATCTTGAACGAAATTAAAGAGTAAATACATACGCATTTCATAACTTCTTCAACCTAAACTACGATTTTAAACCGAGTTACACAACACGGAACACAATAATCGAGTGCATAATACGAATTCAAACAACAACACAGATGTGTGTATCTGGTCTTAGTCGTCTGTTTGAAATAGTGTGCGAAAATTAGCTAAATAAAATATCAAACAAACGGGAGGCACAAAGAAGACACAAAAATATGTTCATACGACATACAACCGTAACACGACCCTTGCCCAGGCTCAAAAATTCGAGAATACCGAGACTTTTAGATCGGCTGATCAAGAATATAGATAATACATGTATACACGACGAACGGATGTTTTGGATGATAAGAAATACCGAATCCGAATACACTGAACACATCAAACCGAATGCTTAACATTATCTGCTGCCCTGTTATTTACAGTTCCGTCTTCTTAAATTTTGTTAGTTGGCTCTTAAGGTTCTCTTAATAATCAATCACTCGATAACTTTTGTAAAGAATCTATGAACAATTTTTTTTTAGAAAACTCTATTTCATTGTGTAACGAAACATACACTTCTTAATCGGCATTCTTGCCTAGCTCGGTCATCTCAGAAATCAACCAGATACATACACATTAACCGTATATCGCGAAATTCTCCACTGGTATACTACTAAGACAGCCAAAGGTCCGAAGATGACGAACTGAGAAAACAGAAAACCGAAAAGGAGGGTGAAGTTTCTCTCGGAAGGCTTGCTACTCATGAAGAAATTTAAGTCTGGTTTGACAACAGAAATCTGGAGCCATCTGGAGATTTATATCAAGGCAAAAGCAGCATTCCTGACAGTTTCTATACCAACTTTTTTTAAAGACCTTTTTTTTGTAGTAAATATATAAATCGGTAAGACCAGAATGCCGCGATGTTATAAATAAAATGATATGATATAAATGGTTAGATATAAGAATACTACATTTAAGTTGATAAATAGTTATGGTAGTCTTTAAAAATAAATTATAAAACTATTAACTTTGTTGTTTTTATCGATGCTGTTATTTTACCGTTCTACCACGAGAACAATTCGCACTGAAGAACTCAGGAAAAATGTTATTTTTAAAAGTATAATACAGTTTTGAAATTTTTGAATTCATCAAAAGGACATCAGTTTGTTCGAAAAATCCAACGAGCTCAAAATTTTTTTTTTACAAGTTTTCTACTTGTCTTGAATTAATTCCTGCGCAGATAGTTTTTAAATGTTTGCCAAAAACGAATAGTTCTTGTTGCTATTTTCAAGGATTAGATATACTTTTAAGTTCGTTTTCAACCGAAAATTTCTTTATTTTCAGTTTTTCAAATTGATAACTCAACTGATGAATGTGTTATTTTGACTTCTTTCGAAAACGTTTCTTTCATCGAGCTAAAAAGCCTATCCAACTTTAAAAAGAAGGTTTAAATGTAGAAATTCGGCCAGAATTACAAGGCTATTGACTTCAACACTCGTTATACATAAATGGGATTAAATCATTCGGCAATTGTTGGTTCATTTGGCGACCACTGGCTTCTTGATAAACAAAACAAACTTTAGTAATCGTGGGTTAAAGCTCAGGATATTCACATTAGCAAAAGACACAGTTCCGTGTCAAATATATTTCCGTTTTTATCGCAAAATGTGGGCATCGTCCCATTCATTGATACGGTGTAAAATGTATTGAAGAGGTTTCATCTTGTACATATGTTATCGATCTTGAAATGTGAAATGTGCTCTTCACACAGCCTCGAGTTAGCTAGCGATTGCTTAGCTCGATTATCCTGTCCACATTGGGCTAATTCCTTCACTCGAGTTACGAACATGTGCTCTTTGCTTGAATTTTGATACGGTAGGTAATAAATTAATGTTTGTCAGCCATATTTTACACGCCGTTTCGACTTCGATTAAAAAAGCTGTCCTAGTCGGGAAAAATCCAGCAAAGTCGGCTGGAATTCCTCTTAACTCCACCTTTGCAACTAGTTTCCATTAATATATGTGTCATTTTAATGGTATTGCTTATTTTAAAAATGGATGCCAAATGCTAATGTTTCAGTATATCATAATTTTCAAATACAACCAGAACCATAACCGTTAATATACCCGTTTAATATACCCTAGCAGAGGGTATTATAATTTTTATCAGAAGTTTATATTTTATATGTGTCAGCAAAGTGTACACTGATCATGTTAAAAAACGATCGTGTAAAGTTTGATAAATTTGTTTCTCGCTGATTGCTCCCTTATACATCAGTTCGTGTCCATCTCTTTAGTTGATTATATCCTAAAGATGTCCAATGCAAATAACATTTGTATACCCTTGCAGAGGGTATTCTAATTTTGGTCCAAAGTGTGCAACGCAGTGAAGGAGACATCTCCCAAGTATATATATTCTTGATCAGGATCGCATCCTGAGTTGATATAAGCATGTCCGTCTGTCCGTCTGTCTATTTCTACGTGAACTAGTCTCCCAATTTTAAAAATATCGATTTTAAACTTTGTACACACCCTTCGCACGGAGTATATAACGGCCGGGATCGGTCGACTATATCCTATTGCCGCTATATAACTGATTAATCGGAAATGCCATAACTTTGGTGTTTGTAAAGTTAGGAAGTTGGGATTTTTTATGAGTATTAAGAATGCATCATATGAAAAATTTCGTCTCCACCCAAAGTTAGCTTTCCTTTCTTGTTTTTAACTAAGAAACACTCTGCTCTGAACGTTCACATAGAGTGCATTTCAGGCGGTTGTAATTTTCTGGTATTTTTTTCGTTGATCTGATTACCGGGGTAAAAAAGGGTCATGACGAAAAGTGTTTGCAAGCTGCGTCTCGCTCTCTAGCATAGCTGACTAACGGATTTCGTCGATCTGAGTACAGGCTTAAGCTACGAAAAATTGATCCGGTAAGGCTAGCAAAACATTCAAATTCTTTTGATTAAACTTGTTGAACAAATCGAATTATCGTTCAATCAAAATCAATAGAGCAGTTTTTCAGTGAAAAATATCTCGTATTTGCAAATAAGGATTTAATTAATATTAAAGCCTACTAATCAGATAAAAACATATTCGCAAGCGGAAAAAAATGTAATCTTCCTAGGTGACTAGAGAGTTTATCCAAACTGAGTGTGTTATGGTCTTACTGTTAAACAGCTGGGTTTGTTAAAATACTGTAAGCAAATCATTTGCGCAATTTGGTATTGTGGCAAAAGAGGAAGATGTTAAAAAAGGAACATACCTGCAGGAAAGGCCCTTAAAGGATATTCTCAAGTACCTTGGCAAGATAAATATACATTACTTGTTTTTTTTTTAATTAATTATTTAAAGTTCAGTTCATTTTTTGTTAGGAAAAACACTCTGCACTGACAACGCAAACTTCAAAAGATTACATTATATATTTTTTCGGTAGGGCATAACGAATAATTCAGGCAGACGGTGAATGGTAATTTTCTTGTATTTTTCGTCGATCTGAGTAAGAGGGTGAAAAAAGGCCTCGCGAAAAGTTTCCGTCAGCTATTTGCCTTTCTTTCTGAGTACTATGCTTAAATGTTGTAAAAGACACTTCTATTGATAAATTCAAATTTGCAAATAAGCCGGGCTTATAAACAAGGTAAAAATCTTTATCGATAATTAAATAATATAAATTCGATATTCGATAAGACCAATCGAACTATCGATATACGCTCAGTGTTTTTCAATAATCCGAAACAAAGCAACAGCGAGCTGAATGTCCTTTCGGTTATTGGCGTTGGTAATAAAATTATCATGCCATTGAATTGACAATGAACTAAATGTTTTTACTAAAGGCAATTGAATTCTTCCCGATAACTTCTGCGCGAAACTTATGCAGACACACTGGCACAAACACACCCGCAAAGCTCACACACATACGACTATCACAGAGAAACACGAGAGCATGACTTTTTTTTTGCTGACCTGCTATTTTTTTTTTCTGCAGCGCACTTTATGTTTTAAAGACCACAATGCTTAACTAGCATACTATAAAATTTTGCAGTTGACTGTACTCACCGAAGCTCTGCCCTTCCCGTTGTTCCTGCGCGATTCTTCTTTCCTATTTTGTATTGGGCTGCGGGCTGTTGTGAAAATAGGCGACGATGTTTGCATATCAAAAGTCGACGTTGAAATGACGGAACAATGCCTGTGTCGCCGAACACTGAACACTTACCGGCGAGAAACAGAGCACCAACACCGACACAAGCACGTGCGCACACCAACAGGGCGACGGAGTCAATTCGCCGTGTCCAATTCGCCGCAACTAAACTATCGCTTGTGCTTCGCCAATACCGCAACCAGCGATGATCCTCTCTGACTATATAAACGATTACTTGTTCGTTTATTATTTTCTTTTTTAAATAATTTGATTACTAATTTTAGATGTAGCTTGTTCAAGCTTTAGGGCACGAATGAATTTGGATCTACACTTCTGTCCTCACGTCAACTTTTTACGACTCGTACATAGATGAATTTTAAAGCAAAGGATTTTGGAGTTTTTAAAACACATAAGTTTTATGAGGTTTATCAGAGCTTTTTTTATGTGAATACCGCTCTACGATTTAAGATAAAGAGTATATGGATACCTATATTTAAAAAGTTATCCTTAATCGGTTAATTAATAGCCCCGCAAGGATACAATTTATAAAAAAGTGTCTGCAAAAAAATTGTTGTTTTTGTAATTCAAACTTTTGTAAGAGCCTTCCATAACTTACCATAACATTACACATCTATAGTTGTAGGCTTACTAGGAAACAGACAAGTAAACAAAATGAATGTTAAATAAAAAATAACACAAACGATGTGTGCGACATTTCTAGGTAATTCAAGTGTAACAACTTTTATAGCTGCTGGTGTTTTAAAGCCAAAAATAATCGCCAGTATTTGCGCCACTACTGAGAACGGTCATACTGCAAGAAAATTTTAACAAAAAGGAGGATGATAACTGACATCGGGATTCTGCCACATACACATAAGCTTGCCAATAGCGAAAAAAAGAGAGGAACTAGCAGACCTTGTGGGTCCTCTACAATGGGTAAATATATTGTACCGCGAGTGTTTAGTAAATTTGATATTAACAAAACAGCACTTTATTGAAGTTGTACACTTGTCATCGCCTGCCGAATTAAGTACACAATTATCGCGCTAAAAATACGGTGTGAGGGAATCGCGCCATTACGACTCCCCACATCTCTCCTCACTTAGGACTAAGTTTAAGGGTATAACGACACTTGTCTGAAATTCGGTTGACTAACTAGATCAATTTTGTAGGTAGTACAAATTTATGAAAATCCAATGGTTGGTGGAGCAGCACCGCACTACTATCAAAATAAAACTGCTTCTTAGGTTAGTACACCCATTCATAGATTAATGTACTATTTCAATTGTAAGCATGTAATAAATCAAGTCAGTTAGCCGAATTTTAAGCCAGTGTCAAAACACCCCAAACGAAATAAAAAATAGTAGTAATTAATAAAAAAAAAAACACACTCCGGACTTTAAGCTAATCTATAGTCTACTGCTCTCGGCGCCGTTCTGTCGCGCCGGAGAATGCTGGGATTTGTCGTATCCGTTGCTGGACATCTGCAGGTGCTGCGGCAGCTGGGCGGGACGTCCATTGGAAGGCAGGGTCTCGTCCACGGAGAACACGGAGTTGTCGTGCCCGTGCATGTGGCGAGCATTGAGCACGGCATCCGGATGGCTCTTTGGCGACTCCGGTTCCTGCGCATCATCCGGTTTTCCTTCCAGCAGGAAGCAGGTGATGAAGAAGAGTATGGAACCTGAAATGAAGGACAGCCATGAGTTATGTTGGTATATAGAAATGGCAATATGGAATTACTGATGCCGTAGAACCCAGCGTAGAAGATCATAATCGATCCGCGGTAACCCAGAACCTTGGCAACGGGATCCACCAGGATGGGCAGGTTGCCACCGATGTTGTTCATCACGAACAGGAAGACGCCAATGGTCGAGGAGCGAACGCGCAGCGGGACAATCTCCACCACAATGGCGAACACAATGCCGAACCACAT